TAGCTCACTTCTCAAGGTGCCCAGCCCATATTACAGAGCGAGTGAACAGCAGAACCCAGGTCAAGTCTCTTAAACATGGCAAGGTGCACCAAGGAGAAGTGAAAAAACAACACGGTTTGCATACAGGCCAGTTTCGCGATGAGTTGTCCCTCTGTCAGGTTTTTCTTCTACTGTACAAATCATTAACTGGAGCGCTGATGTAGCAACTGATTGGCATGCATGCGCAAGCACAGCTGAAATGTGTGTCTACCGCAGTTAACAGGTTGTTGTGAGCTTATCGCTGGCTGAGAGCTGGAACGGTGAGGCAGCGGTTAGCCTCAAGGTGCAATTCCATTCATTCCTGTATAGCAATAGACAGGTGAAGGAGGACTTTAATTTAGGGGATGCCATGTGAAGATGAAGATTTATTATGGTACTATCTGATAAGGTTTTCATAAGTTTTATTCCCTGCAGGTCACAACAAGAGTTAATTCTCACTCACAGTTTTTTGAGTGACACTCGGTTGTGAATCTGTTGCTGATGCACAGCACTGGGTAACCAAAATGAAAACACACCATAAACAGAAAGATGTTCGTACTGGTGAGACCAGCGGAGGGGGCACTAGTGTAGAAGTGCATAAACACTGTGGTGCATGTCAGAGCAGGAGCTCGCTTTGAGGCAGGATGCTCACAGACTGAGAGACAGACGGTTACCCGGACCCGTCAGTAAAGCCATTTCACCCGTAACCTGAGCAGCCCGGCTTCTGAGACGACGGCTGATCTTCCCTGGATCCTGAGTATGATGATAAGGAGCTGAGATAAAGTGCTACCTGAAGGGTAACGACAGAGCTATGAAGACAAGGGTGGGGCATCAGGTCATATATCCTTACATGTCATGACCACAATTACCAAGGGGCCTCCGCTCACCTCCTGTGAGAACCAACATCTGTAACATGCCGCCATCTCCTCTCTGTTGGAAGTCCACTTCATAACAAATATAAATAACCTGAAAAATAACTGAGATTGAATACGTATCATTAGCCACTAAATAGTAGTGCCACTTGCCATTTTGAGTCGACCAGCATGAAAGCGGATCAACCCCAACCTCAGTTCTGGTCCAAACCAAAGCAGGCCAAATTTGAACTTTTTAAACTTTTTCTGTGTCTGTTCACTTATAGCAGTTTGACTGTTTGACGTCCCCTTTTCCTAGAAAATTCAGCAGATGTTCTATTTATTATGCTCAGGCTGCCAAGAATCTCAGGGAGGACAACTTGAACACGTGAAGAGAGACAAACTTTGTGTTGACCAGACTCCCCTTCTCCCACCAGAGAGGAAATTTTATGAACTCACTGGGGAAAGATAAGGATTCTTCCCCGACACGGCCGCTCATACTACGAATTCCAGTGAAATCACCACCGTATATTCACCGACCGAAGTATGTGTTAACACCTAAAGCTAAGAAACACTTGCCTAAATATGCAGCCATTTTGAAATTAGAGGTGCGTGTGACAGGTCACAAATCAAATCAGATCATAGACAAACCTTCGAAGATGACTATAATTAGAGTTTACTTCTGGATTTAGGCCATTTGAATTATGCCAGATTTTCTTTTTATGAAGAAATATGTGGATACTTTTTTTGCTCCTTTATCTGATTTACCAATTTTTGTTAATATGAGAGGAAAAATCTAAGTCACGCAGCAGACGTTTGCTTTCAGTTCTTGTTTGCTATTTACAAAAGCAGACTTCACCATGGTCACCAGGCCTGCACACTGAACATGCAGTGAGCAAAAGAGAATCATTTCCTATTTGAAACCTCATTATGTAACTAAAGAATAGCTGCGTGAGCTGGGCTGCCACCCCTGAAGCATCCACAGATTTGCTGTTAAAAGGTCATATAGGATTAAAGCAGATGAGGGGCAGCCAGGACTTGTTAAAGGGTCATCTCCTTTAAACAGTCTTCTCACAGGGGAGCATTCCTGCAGTAAGCCAATTTAACAGGCAAGACCAGCAACCATTCACAATCTCTGTCCTGAGCAGAAAAGGGGAACTGTGTAGAGACAGTGCACAAATGATTTCCTCCTTCAGGCTGCAAGAATAAAAACAGAAAAATGAAACCTGTAAATTCTGAATGACACAGGCAGCTGTAACTTAATGCGATTTGATGTGGTTAAGCTCCCTTTAATGTATTAAAGTGTAAAATAATGTATTATATTGACTTCAATATAAATAGCTCAGACAGACACAAAACCTATTCTCTTAAAATATATAGTTAAAATGGACATATTAGCTGAAAGAAGTTAACTGGCAATGAAGGGTAAATATCACCCTTATTAAACAAAGCTACAGCTCATGCTAACATGCTCACAATGACAAGGTTTACCGTGTTCACAGTCTTTGGTTTGCGTGCTATCTGTTGCTAATAGCACAAGTGCACTGAGGCTGAAGGGCATAGTTTTGCAGGTTTTTGGTCCATAAACCAAATACTTACAAAATTAAATTTAAATCTGATGGTGGCTCTAGATGAAAGGTTAGGGGGATCACCAAAGTTACTGCAATTCACTTAAAATGGGCTGTGATTCTCTGGACCGAATTTCACGGAAAATGTCGAATGTCATGCCAAAGATGTAAGCCATGGTGGCGCTACAAGAAAAGTCAGGGGATCAGCAAAGTCTCTGGGATTCAACCTCTGGAGGTCACAAATGTTTATACAAAATTCAATGTGAATCCATCAAACTGTTGTTGAGATATTTCAGTCTGGACCAATGTGGTAGACCGATCAACAAACCAGACATTAAGGGCATAAAATGAAGACATCACAACCTTTCTATCTGGTACACGGTGAGCCATCACTGCTTTGCTGCTTTATATAGCACATCAGCATGAGGGCTATTCTTTGACATGAAATTACATAACTAATCACCATCAAACAGACAGAGGGGCTGGAATACTTGCTGGCTGGCTGGCTGGCTGGCTGGCTGTCCCTTCCGAAAAAAAAAAGTCAAGTCAGACACAAGCATTTATCTAAGCCTGTGAAATCCTCCACACAAAAAAGGGAAAATTTAAGAGTGGTTCTCAAATAGCCAAATTCCATTTTCTCCTCGATGCATCACAGTGGTGTGCTCACCTAGTAACTGGTAAACACACATCAACAGTGACTAAAAAGCATTAATGAACCTCGATATATTCTCCAAAGAAAACACTTTAAGTGTTGCCACACTCCAGAGCTTGAGGAATATCATCCCTGCTGCCATTGCCTACGTGTATACTGGGACTACATTCACACCATATATCTGTTTCAGTTGTGGTTTTACTGATTTATTGTGTCTATCACTGCTGGAGAAACGATATGCCAAAACAAAACTACATAAGGTGTCCCCGGCTGGCTGGCCAACACCTGACCAAGATAAAGAGCTAAATTGCAGAGATTATGATCTGCCATAAAGTGTCTGAGTAACCACATGCAGCCAGACCTCAGCCTCAAACAATGGAGACAAAGATCTCATGCATGTGCGACACGTGCTTGAAAAGAAACTAAGACGTCCAGACGTTCAGTCAGACTTTATTCATGTGACCTCGGGGTGTGCTGCGTATGTCATATTATTACATTGTTAGTGCGATGCGATCAGTGTCAGGACGGTGCTGGACAGGTGCTCATCGACCATCTACTTAACACATGGCGATGTAGCATGAATTATTAATTAAACACTGTAAAGAGAAGAATCAGTTCTTTGGAAAATGGAGTTATTGTATTTAGGATTCTGATCTTTTGTCTAAAATTTCAGTTGTTCACAATCAGGACAATCAGTCTGGTTAACGGGGATGCATTTACCAAATGTGCCATACGGAAAGTAACTCAATGACCTCAATAATGAAGTAATTGTTCCATTTGCTGCTACTTTATACATATAATCCACCACGTTTCAGAGAGAAATATTGTACTTTTACTCCACTACATGCACCTGCTCAATTTAATAGTTAATAGTAAGCGGATTTACATAATCAACAAATTAACTATGATGCATTTTATAATTAAACTACCTAATTAACAGTATATAAAATAGTTAAATTAACTCCACCTTACCTCACTCAAAAAGTATATTTCCCTCTGAAATCTAGAGGAGTAGAAGTATAACCACCATAAATTCACTTACTTTCCACCACTGTAATATGATATATACTGTATATCATAGTATAACACTCTGAAAGGGGTTATCGTGCATAAGTGCTTTTACATTTAATACTTCAGTACATTTTAAAAGCAGGATTTTTACTTTATATCTTTACAGTTTGTTTACACTTGCAATAACTGATTTTCTTTGCCAAGTGGGGGCAGCATACACAACAATGACGTATCAACTTTTAACTTTTAACTCAGGGGGAACTTGCTGGCCAGTAGACACAGAGTGACATAAGCATTGATTTTGAGTCATGTTTCTGGCTACTTGATGAATTTAACTTTAACTTTCAGAGTTGTTTTGGTCTCTACCAGCTCCTAAAGAGAAGTATCTGGCTCTTTAGCTGCTAAATGCGTCACTTTGTTTGTTCGGTTGATATTATTATTGATTATAGCTGCTTTAATTGAATATTCTGAGCTCTTCCACCACTGGTTTTATGTAACAAATACTGCATGCAAATACCCACTCATGTTTAAATACCAATTTTCTCTCAGTATATGTCACAAGTCTTTATTATTATGACTGTCTCCAATGTCAGCGTTTTACTTGTGCAAGTCAGATGAGTGGATGAGGTCTCTTGTCACATATTTAAATCCGAAACACCTAACCATATGTGCTTGAACGTGGGAGGAAGATACCCCAAAACAGAAAGCTTGCATCTACATGGCAGCGAGATGACTAAGCATGAGGCGTGCTGCCTGTGGCACTGTGCAGACATGTTCCATTCTGTCAGAGTTTTGCAGCACATAGGCACCATTTCACACGGTCCCCCGACTCTTGGCAAAGCAAGTGGGAACTGTAGAGGCTCTGCTGACAGCCTATACTGAGCATTTAAGCACTGTGACTGGAACTGCAACCTCTTTAATTTTTTTTTCATTGTAATTTCCTCAATGCATTTTCAAAACAAATACATATAGAACAGGCACTTTTCACTAGTGCGTACATTTTTTAGCTCAGATGTTGCATTAATGAAAGCGAGAAAAACATCAAGTGTGTCAAAGGCCTTGCAGGACCAAGTGGTAAGAAAATACAATACTTAAAATCAGAGTGGGATGACTGTTGTTGTTTTTGGCAGCACAAATGAGAAAAAAAGTAACTTAATTGTTCTTCATGACTGACTTATGTATTATACAGCAGTGTCAGGAAAATGAACACTGAGTCCTATGGCAGGTCCCCCCACCCCCAAACAGTGAATATCTAAGCTAAGCATTCTCTTGAAACCAACCACCCCCCCTCAAGTATTGCTGAGTGTGTTCACAGTGTGTGTGGTCTTGGAGTGGAAAACCCTTCACTGTTTTGAGTCTTTAACGCCATCTACTGGAGAAATTACTGTGCTGATCAAAAATAAACAATCTAGAAAAGTGATCAGAAAAATCTATAAATATAGAACCATTCACACCATCCGTGTCCTATGAAATCAAATTAAATAAATTAATTTAAGCAAATATGAAGTTATATTCCTATTGTTATATTCCCATCTTCACCCTATATTGCACTGTGACTGCAGGTTACGTCTTCTGCATCCATTCACTTAGCCGGAAAGTTCAGGTTGTTGTCCTTCCTGTTTCGAACCTCTTCTGTACATCAGCATGTATGCTGTGTCTCTGTAAAAATAAAACACATAATAAAACATGTTTAGACAGAAACACACAAAACAAAGTTATACTTCTCAGGCTTAGTGCAGGAAAGGGATAAAAGGAACACATAAAGAACATTTTTGTACAATAAACAGGAATAAAAAGTGAGAATATAACTACTGGGTGTTGGAGGATAAGACAACATGAAAGACAAGATGGATTTCCTTTGTTTAAGAGTTCAAAAGTTTGAAAGCCTTCATGACAAAAACACCTTTAGTCTCTAATCTTCACTGACAACAGAAAACAGACAACAAGGCTTTGTCTAAAGATCTAAAGCTGTTTCCGCAAGTAGGAAGATAAAAGCTGCACAATGTCAGCGGGAGTCAAGCATTTAAGGCTTTAAATGTTATTAATAAAAATCTTAAATATAACTCTAAAAGCAACTGGAGACCGGTTTAAGGAGGCTAAAATGGGAGTCACATGTTATTTTGTTACTTTTTTCCTGAAGGCATTCTTGCTGTATTCCAAATTTTTTGAAGATGAGAGACGATTTAATAGATGAGGTTGAACACAGAGAATTTAAGTTGTTAATGTGAGAAGAAATAAAAGTCTGAAAAGCTCTCCATATGAGGTCAGAAATGAGGGGTGTCAATTAGTCTGCCAGCAAGTAATATAGATCTTCTCATCTAATTCTTGGCAATGAAGCCAGTAATTCTATTTCCCAGAATGTAAAATTATTCAAGGAGTGAAATATAATTTCTGGCAGCTGTTTAAATGTGGCCTGATATCTCATTCTACAACTATCGAGCTTCAACCTCATCATTAACCTAAAGTTTAAAAGAAGAAATTGTGAGAATTATATTTTTTGAAAGATGATCAGCGTATATCTTTATGACAAGCTAACTGGCTGCTGATAGTAGCTTAATGTTTACAGTGGCATCAATCTTCTTCACTTCTCTCTCCAAGAGAGAAAAAAAGCACAAAATGTTGAACTATTCCTTCAAGAAGACTCCATAACCCTCATATATTGTTATCAAAAGAGCTTATACAAGACAGAACAGTATATGTCACAAGTCTTTATTATTATGACTGTCTCCAATGTCAGCGTTTTACTTGTGCAAGTCAGATGAGTGGATGAGGTCTCTTGTCACATATTTAAATCCGAAACACCTAACCATATGTGCCACAGCCCCGGTCTTTGGCTTGAATGTGGGAGGAAGATACCCCAAAACAGAAAGCTTGCATCTACATGGCAGCGAGATGACTAAGCATGAGGCGTGCTGCCTGTGGCACTGTGCAGACATAAAAATGTATGTTCAGCATTTCACCTGCGATATCCTCCATATGTTGACTGCACTTCCTTCCAGGAGGCCTGTTGGTTGCGATACAAATCAGAGACAGATTGAATCACAAATTTGTATAAATCTGAAGTATAGTTATACAAGAATCCCTCTTGAACAAGGGGACCGTAAAAGCAATATTTCCCTTCCCTTCGTGGTTTTAGGAAACAAACTTAAAACGGGAATTTCAGATACAAAACTTCACAACTTAAGACTTTTAGGTTAATTTAGTTTTAGTTTACAGCATTTATAAAGGCTCTGAAACAGGGATCATATTATAAGAAAGATTTTAAAAGATTTTTGCAATGATTCTTCCACAAATACCAGAAATAAACATTAGAAGTACCTGTTTTACGTGGCTGTCATTCGCATAGTACCAGCGCTGGTTCACCCTGTGATGAACGTAGGCAGTATAGTGTCCAAACATTGCGTAACCAGAGTGCACTACCACCGCATGCAAAGTGTACTTGCAGTCATTCTGGAAGAACAAATGAACTTGTGAATGATGACAGACGACTTAATGTCCGTATAATTTATAGGAAATACACGTACCTGGGCAAAGTCTGTGGAGAACGCCTCTTTAGCAATCTCAGAGAAATCAAAGATTTCTGGAAAAGTCACACGGCAATCAAGTTTTCGGGTATAACCGTTGCTATTTCGAAACCTCTTCAGGTGCACGCACAAGATGGGAGGCAGAGAGAGAAGTTTGACACCCTGAAAAAGAAAAAAAGATGTTTAACTATGTTGGTTCATACTTTCTGAGAAGCAGAAAATTAAATCCACCCTCACCTGTTTGGATGGAGTCTTTTTTCCACATTGTTCACAAAAGCAACAGTTGATGCCCGTTAGCTCCTGGTGCTCAAAGAAAGAGGTCATGCAGCCTCCCTGAAAGGTTCATGTTAGAAATACTTGTGAGTTTAAATTCAGAAATGTTTCCAGCTCTGTCAATACATAAAGTTATATAATGTTTAAGTCCACACTTTCAGCAACAAAGACAATGAGTGCATTTCCCAAAATGTCCCTTAGAATTAATGCATATCTATACAAAATATAAAAGAAACAATACCAGAGAGTTGTGATCTTCTTTGATATGCAGGGGCAGGCTGAGCAGGTAGCTGGCCCGAGTCTGCATTGAGTTACAGACTAAACACTGCAACTGCGTCTCCAAGGAAATCTTGTATAGATTCTGGATTTCAACAGCCTTGAAGAGGAAAAGGGAAATATTAATAAAGCACTTACAGTTGAAAAATAAAGAATATTAATGACTAAAGACCAACCAGAGATCTGTTATCCATCTGTTGATGCGTTAAGTTCAGGATGGTGAGGAACACCTCATCGGCATCATGCTGCGTATTAACTGCAACACAACATTCTCATTGTCAGATAAACCACATCAATATGAGACATTTATTGTGTGTAAGTTTTTTCTCTCCTCACGTCGAAGGCTGTTTCTGTCCAGACAGCGGAGGAAGTCGTGATGGGGAGCAGGCTGAGCGAGGTCTTTCCTCATGTCCGCGAGAACTTTCTTAAGCTGCAACGGGACGTTACGATCATCTGTCCTCACGCCAGTTTCATCCCACCTTGTGCAATTCATAAACTCTCATTAAGGTTCATTTGTAGCAACTTTCTCAACTTGTTGTTGCTTCTCAAAAGCATTTAATTTTGTTACTACCGATAGTTGATTAAATTAGTTGTCAACTATTAAATCAACTGCAAACTATTTTGATATTTAATTAACTTTTAACTTTGAGATATTTTTAAAGACAAATGTCAAAACTCTCTGAGTTTAGCTTCTCAAATGTGAATATTTTCAGTTTTCTTTACTCCTCTATGGCAATAAACTCAATATCTTTGCGTTGTGGACAAAACAAGGCATTTGTGGATGTCCCCTTGGGCTTTAGAAACTTTTTATTTTACATTTTATGGACAAAACAACTAATAGATTAATCTACAAAATAATTAACAGATCAGATTAAAAATAATTGTTAGTTGCAGCTTTAAACTTCATGCGTGTTGTTCAACGTAAATTCTGTCTTTAAATTATACAGATAAATGTTATATTGTGGATTCAACTGGGAAACTATTTCCAGTTAATGTTATCCTTTTGATTTAGTTTAACATACCATGTTTTCTCATCCCTATTTTTGTATCTTTGTCTTCTCAGTGTTAGTTCATTGCTCATACTTGTAGCTCAATTTATGATTCAAATCTCAGTTAATAGACTTGTGCCTGACTTGCCCGGACAGTCACAGACACGCCGTGATGAAGATATTATAGTATTATAAGTCAGGATCATGCAGCTTAATTTTCTTACTTGTCCAATAGGTCTCCTAGTTCCCAGGTAGCAGAGAAGGTCTGCAGTAAAGTGTTCACACAGCAGCACAGACAGTAGTTGGGGAGGCCTCTCATTCCTGTAACAGACCATCAGAAACGTTACAACAACCCCGTTCATGATACCTTGAACCGAGCATGTTAACCACGGCCGGGGGCTACCATCAGTAGCCTACCGAGGGGCCCGGAGAGCCAGTGGGTATTTACATGTGTAAAAATAAAAATGTAACTGTAAAGTCTTGATGCTAACTGGTGTGGGTACAAGCGTGAAAACAGCCGCGCAGAACACCCACCTCACTTGTATATCTTTTATTTAAATAAACAAATCAATCATTTTATAGAAGACAGAGCAAGAAAGACATGTTTAGTTTATTGGTTTAAGGCCCTACATACAACACATGAATAGCAGGTTTATTTTACACAGATCCAAGGTCAGTATTTTGTTTTTTATGTCACTGCTGCAGACATGAGGGATTTATTGGTTGTGAAGAGGAAAATAATGATGTCAAATGCAATAATAGTAAGAAACTCACTGATGAATGGGACCAAAAACCACAAATATGCGTGACAAGCTGGACTGATGCAGGTTAAAGCCCATGGAGGTATTAATTCAGCCATATTGTTATAACAGCTGACGAACAACCAGAGCTGTGTGGGTCCAACTACATCTACAGTGTAAGAATCAAAGAGACCCTCATGGATTCCCAAACTTTGGAGAATAAATAAGTTATTGCACTTATTTTTTATTCCTTGAACATTTGTGAAATAATGTCTAAAGTTGAATATTTATTGAACTTTCCCTCCCTCTGGTAACCATCCTGTACAGGCTGCAGTTAAATATGTATGATGTGACGCAATACAAAACATTAAACCTGCAACACAGAAAACTACAGCTTTAGGTTTTGTGTGCTGCTCAGTTCAGTGTTTGAATTTACATTTTATTGCATTATACTTGTGTTTCTAATATTTTTTCCCACTATATTTACATAATATACAGGAGCAAATCTATTAGAAACACCAATACAGTTGCAAAGTGAAAGTATAATGTACCTTGGTATTGTATTATAGTGTACAGGGAGTTATATTTCACTGGTAACATATGTCTTAATTAGAGGTGGAAAATGGAGCAATACCACATCAAAATGTACTTAAAATAACCCATTATGCAGAATAATAGATACCATACTATATAATGACAATATATCATAATTTATAATATATCCATATATATTTTGTATTAATAATCAGATTTTGCAATGTAACTAAAGTTAAATAAATGTAGTGGAGTAAAAAGTAGATTATTTTCGTCTGAAATGTAGTGGAGTCAAATACTTTATGTTTAAAGTAACATAAAAATGGAAAATACTCGAGTAAAATACATAAAGATTCTACCACTGCTCACATTTAACAACATAAATCATCTGACAGGTTGAATGTGGTTTACTTACTGAAACTGGGGTCCCACAGACGAAGTGTTGACAAGCACCGACAGAATACTTCAGACATCACTTCACTTCACAACCTGTCACTGATGAAAACATTAAACAGTTAAAATGAGTCAAACGTTTCGTGTACTTTACAGAAAGAGTGCGTTGGAGTGAGACTCTGTCCTCACCTCAGAGTAACCATCAACAGTCTCATCGACAGCTGATCACTTTCGTTTTTGGTGTTTTGGTTCCAAGCGTCGATTTACCGGAATCGAAACTTAACAGTTGCCATGCGCAGAAACTAATCCGACAACTTTAACGTAAAACTTACGTAAAATAACATTTAATTCGGCTTCATTAACCTCATGTGACATTTAGTCAGTTTCCTTTATCTCACATGTTCTCCCCAATAATACTTCTACTCCACATTTCAGAGACAAATATGGTCCTTTTTACTCCACAGCTTCAGTTACTAGTTACTTTTCAGATTACTTCCTGCTCAGTGAAATATTTAGTCATTATTATTTTATTTTTGACTGAACTGGGTTGAGAAAATTATTTATTATTTAGTATTATTTATTTATTCAACTAAAGAAACGATCAAAAAACACAAGTTGGACCAAAAGGGCGGTTTCTCTGAGCTCATGAATAGTTAAGTTAGTTATGTGGTTCTCACAAGCTGATGCTGCAATCATGATGATATTACAGTGATAATATATATATATATATATATATATATATATATATATATATATGTATATATAAATAATATGATGTATTTCTGTAGATTCAACAACTCAACAGTATATAAAGTTCAACCTTAAACACCTACAGCAATAAAATGCAACATACACATTATTAATCCAATAGTTGCACAGTAAGTAATTTTACTTTTGAGGCTTTAACTAAATAATACTTATATACATAAGTACTTCTTCCACCACTGGTTGTGTCTAAAAGCTATTTGTAATTGTTTTATTAACTTCATCATCTCAACTGTAAAATAATACTGTTAAAATAATGAATATGTGATGTATACCACCATTGTTATGGTTTAATTCAGCCATTTATCACTAAAGTGACTGATATAATTTCTATTTTTGTTGTGGTACTTGTATAGTATCTTGAAATTTATGGATGAATGATTGAAAAACACAAATATACACATGTAGATGTATTATTACATCACAAAGTGACCTGTTTTACAATCCTTCCGGTGTAAGACAGCTAAATGAAAAGCTTATTAATCATAGAGTCGTGGTAAAAAGGTTATCAGCATTCAACTCATTAAGTTCATCTGTTTTGTTGATCCTTAATTATCCATTTGATATCTTATTTCTTTCTATTTCATTATTATTTTGTGTTATAAATTGTGTAAATATGTTGTAGGTTATATGTGCAGCTGCTTGTAAAAAAGGTTCTTAATCTCAGTGAGACTCTGGTTAAATAAAGCTATTATTACGATGGAGAGGGAGCTGCTTTAGGAAGAAGAATCTGGACTTGTAATCTGAAGTATGTGTTAGTGATGACCTGAGGTGAATTTATGTAAAAAGCTTAGAGAAGTGCAGCGTAAAAGACCGAAAACCAGGCGATAGAATCACTCTGTGGAGCATCTTGATGGCATCAAAAAGTCTGTGGTTTCTAACTCAGAAAATGGAAAATACCGCAGGAAAAGTCTTTGTTTGGAGTAACAGAAGTTGTTAAAACTTGAAAAAGTGACAAAACACATTGTGATTTTCAGTCTTTTACAGCCCTTTGCTGTGAGTGAGAGCCTGATGGTACGGTGCAAACATGGCACTCCACATCTGTTTGAGCAGTTGAAGAAGTTTGGAAATCCACATGAATGAAGACGGATGAGCTGCCAGGAAAAAACAGAAAGATTTATATTTCAAATCAAACATTTCATACTGCAGCAAGCCTCGTGATGAAACTGAGCAACAAAGAACATTTAAACCCAACCTGGATCCAATCGAAGAAAAAGCATGTAGAGAAGAACAGCAGCCATGAAGACTTTCCTGAGAGAGAATGAGCCAGAGCCGATCAGCAAGAGCTTTCTGTAGAAGAACCTGAGCGTGGCTTCAAGTTTACGGACCACAGCTCCTGTGGAAGACAAACACAATCAGAAAGACTCTCTGCCTTCATTATTTGTATATGACTGAGTATAATGCATGTTGTGAAGGCCGAACTGAAATGTGAGACCTTGAGTTGAGATAGTATGCGCGGTGGTCTCTGAGTTTGGACTTGGATTTAGAGGCGGTTCTTGTTTCTGTTGCTCTTTTTCTTCTACAACATCCAGTGCGGCCTGCCTCTGGTCCTCTGTGAACGCGCTGCCCCCGACCTCCCCGACAATCAGCTCCAGAGCCTCGTCTCTGTGTCCGAGAGGCACGAGGACATGCAGCAGGTACAGCTCTGCCACCGTCCTGAACCCCGTTACTCTGCTGTTGGACGGGCAGTGTAACCAAACTCTGGCTGCCTCCTGCATCACTGCTGGCTCTCCCACTTTGGAGTAAAGAAGTATGCTGCCAAAACATGGAGAAAATCATTTTCAAAATGCATTTCAGAGCTGAAAAGATTAGTTTATAAAGTGATTAGTCAATTGGTTAATGGTTTTAGTGCCAAATATTCTCTGATTTCAGCTTCTTAAATGTGAAGATTTGTTGCTTTTCTTACATGATTATACTCATAATAGCATTAAATCTCTTTGAGTGTTGACTGTTTTTTAATATGAAGACGACACCTTGTTCTCTTGGAAATGTTTGTAGGAAAAAAACGATTAACTGAGAAAATAATCTGCAGATTATCTGATTATGAAAATAAGTGTTAGTTGCAGCCCTAATGTATTCATTCATTTGTCTAACTCAGGGAAAACAAGTCAAAACATCAGCCTTATGTCTCTGATGTTGGCCTGGTTATTCAGTGATGTGCAAGTTCCTCAGATTCATCACAATTAGACCGGCGAATCATGATTGTTTTCAGAATTGATTACTTATTAAATATATGAAACATCAGACCGCTCTACTCACCACATCTGCATTATTTTAGCAGGTATTTTCTCCTGGTGCTCGTACTGCTGAAGGACCCAGGAGAGGACACCACGCCACTGATTCAGCTCGGCCAGTGCTTGAATCCCTAAGATGCAGAAACCAGCCTTAATCTCTCCACATCTGAGGAGGGGGAAAGAAAAACGGTGACATTACACAATTCACGCTGCAGGGAGCCTTCAAGTGACACCAGGTGCATTGAGTCTCTCAACCTGCTGTCCTCTTGCTCCACGTTGGCGAGACTCTCCAGGCCTCTGTCGCATGTGTCTAAGGCTGCCTGGAAATCTCTGTGGACCATCATTTGCTCTGCAGCGGTGTCCAACATGCTGGACATCTGAGTTAAAGAAGAAGTGAGCGGAGGGCTGCAGACAGAGCTGGTTGAACAGCAGCTCATGTCTAACGTATGCGTCAAACTTACACCAGATGAACCTGTTTGGAGGTGAGATCTGTGCACCACCCTCTTGTTTTACTATCCAAAGAGTCCGTTTAGCTTCCTGTTTTGACGTCGCCAGCCAATCAAACGCTGCCGTCTTCAGCTTGACCCCAGCAGCCAATCACGTTGCTGTTTCTTCGAGCAAAAACACGTGTGCACGGAGCGGAGTGTCCCCGTCTGTCTGCGGAGACAATTTCAAGCAGCTTAAACAAAGTTTTCTGTAAGTCCCCGCTTTGTTTTTACGTGTGGAATAATGTGAACAGTCTGTATTAGTGCAAGTTTGTTGAATTAGCCGCTCTGAAGCGTTTTAATGCGACATTTTCCCCCAATATAGCAACTGGACAGCTAACAGGCTAGAAAGCTGTTTACGTATTCTGGTTTCAATTAAATTAATAGTCGTAGCTCGCTGATATCTTGTTATATAATGTTACTGTCGCGAAATAGTGAGAACGTGTAACTTTATATTCTGAGTTGTGGACAGATAAATGTTCTTCTCCCTTTTAATACAGTCATTATTGATTGATCAGTCTCCTGTGAGCTATATTTTCCCTTATTCTTCCTTTAAATTTAAACATTAGAGTGTTTTTAACTTGTCACCATGTATATATATATAAAGTTTTAATCTTCTTGCCAAATGACCACAGTTCTTATCAGCCACCGTATGTCACAGAAATGTTGAATAATGTGTGTTATTCTCGTAAATAAGACAAAGTAATGTTGTTTTCTGATCCTTCAGGACTATAATTTTAAAGATTACCATCATCAAAAACAAAGTGAGGGACGTGGAATAGAATTTAAAGAAAGCTGTCCTGAAGATGAAACATAATGTGAAGGATGAAAAGGAGAAAGCTTTGATTGGCATGTTTTTGTTTTTCAGATCGACCTTAAAATGGCAAAAAGCCTCCGGAGCAAATGGAAGAGGAAGATGAGGGCTGAGAAGAGGAAGAAGAATGCCCCCAAGGAGCTGGCCCGTCTGAAACAAGCTCTGAGTCTGGATAAGAAAGGAGAAGCTGCCATGGCTGACGTGCAGGAGATCGCCACTGTGGTGCCAGCTGACAAGATCAAGAAGCAGACAGATGTGGACATGGCGGGGGCAGAGGGTGATGGTGAGCGAGAGATAGAGCGCCACACGGTCGGTGTGAGTGTACTGTCATCTTTCTTATTCATAACTCTTTCAATCTGTCGTTTGTGTTACAGACGGGAAGATGGACTTGGACAGCAAGCGCAGCAAGACAACTCTGTTGGATGAAAATGGTCAGTACCCTGCCTGGATGAGTCAACGGCAGGCCAAGAAACTGAAAGGCAAACGGATCGCGAAGAAAAGTGGCCAGGGCAAGAAGAAGAAGGGTATCTCCTGGTGAGCCGGAGGAAAGACCGTCGCTTTTGCCTTAAAGACTTCTGACGCAGAAACACACGCCGTCGTTTCATGTATTCTTTTATACGCGATTGCTGTGGACTTTCTGCTGTTGAATTTCAGTCTGTTCAGTGGATTACAAGATTCACGGTTGTGTCACAGAGCTTGTTATTGTAATTCACTGCAGGGACATTTGTGTTCTTATGGAACAGCAGCTTCATTTCAGTGTTGGGACAAGTTTAAACACAAGTTTAAAGACAGTAAGACTTGTCTTATTACATCATAGCAGGTCAGGTGATTGTCTTATTCTCTGCTACAGTTTAAATTTTTTCATACTTGGATAAAAAAAAATGTTTATTATGTTATAATCTTTTGTCTTACACCACTTAAGACTGGGTGATATCGTTAAAATCATTATTAATGACACCAGCTATGGACAGCAATGTCTCAGGTTGGAGTCAGACATTTGTTGTATGTCATTCCTCATTGTTCTCCTCTTGTTTCATGTTGTCTTCCTACTGTCAGAATCTCTCAATTGATCAGAATAGTTGCTGTGTATACTATGATATAAAAGATGTATGCCAAATCCTAAAAAAATGGACTGTGTTGTAAATAAAACACCTCACACAAATCATTAACTGTTGATTTTTACCCACGTTTAGTTTCACATCATTCATTTTGAGAGCAAAATACGATCGTGATAAGACACAATTACAGTGAAAGATGATAAACAATAATAGCCCTAATGTTACTGTAAGATACCGATGTAATATGGACAAATAAAAGTTGGCTTACAAGCAATGTGAAGAACATTTTATTGACTCCAATCAGTTAATTGCAGATACATTATGTAACTCCTTGCCAATAATGTGAGTTTGGTGGTCATACTATCCTCAGATGCTCATTGCCACAGACCCTAAGCGATATATTACACAGTAAGAGTAAAGAAACCTGCTGATCAGAAACCATTTTGTGATGTATTCTATAAATACAGTGCTAAAATTAATTTCCTCCTGTTGAATGACCAAATAAACCTGAGTGTGCAAAAGTTAAGCTTGTGCTGAAACTCCCTGAGCGCGTCGCTCAATTCATCAGCTGAACGTAAGCAGCCGGGAAAAGACCGACGCGTCCGCGACACTGTCCCTTCCACCAGCCCTCGTCAATCATCTCTATGTTGGTGATGATGTCGTCCGGGTTGAAGGAGATCTCGTCATCAGCCTCTGTTGAAAACAGATGAAAGGATTTGTCCTCACAAATGCTGAGAGATGATTATTAAATGTCAGAAAATGAAGAATTGAAAGAGTGTTCACCTCCTTCATAGTCATAAATTGCTACCGCCTTCTGGCCACACGACAGGTCTTCGTAGTCGTTTACCTCAGCTGTAAAAGAAAACCCTGAAATGAGTATTTCATATGTGAAAGGTTTGACGTTTAACTGGTGGCAGACACAAACCTGTCCGCGCAGGAAGAGGTGGTCCAGCATTCTCGTATTCTCCGTCGTCCCCCTCTTCCTCCACATCTGCCGACCTTTCAGGCAGCGGGGGGGCATCCGCGTCGAAGTCGTCCGAGCGTGGAGGCAAAGCCGGGGGCTCGTCGTACTCTGGTTCCTCCTGGAAACATCACACAATGTCTTTGATTTCATAATCATAGATGACCAAAGAAGATCTGAAACCTAGTCCCAGTTTGTGTCTCTCATGTATTACCATTACATTTGAGTCAGGGAGCAAGGGATCTAAGTTAAGACTCTTCTAACCATCTGGAGGAAAAAATAACCCACAGAAATTTATTTTTTTGACTTTTGATACAAAGATGGTAGCTAGAAATATAATCTAACTTCTGTATGGCTGGATTAACTGTCGGAAAGTTATTTTATTTTACTCATTCTGTGTTTCACAAATGTGAAATCATGAATATGAAAGATGTACAGGGCATGTGAGTGGGTTAGTGTGCTCCTCAATATGTTTTGTTATTGCTGTTTCTATCAGTTTAATTTAAAAATACATAATATCACCAGCCTCATCCTTTAAAATGATGAATAAATTATTCTATTTAGTATTGTTGTTTAAATCAGAGTCCTACCACTGGCTCTGGCTCTGGCTCTGGCTCTGGCTCAGGTATTTCCTCTATATCTGGCATGTGCTGCTGGATGTCTGGCGGTGGCAAGTCGTACTCTGGATCCACATCTGGAACAGGTGGTGGAATTTCCTCCTCTCTGCTGCTCTGCTCCTCTCTCCTGCTCTGCTCCTCTCTGCTGCTCTGCTCCTCTCTGCTGCTCTCCTCCTACAGGAAACACGAAATCATTGCTCTGCTCTGTATTGACCGTTTGTTATTTCTGACCCCCTTTCACACGTTTACAGTGCAGCGTGTGCGTTACCTCCTGTCTGCGTTTGGCTTGCTCTCGCTCTCTGCTCTCCCTGGCTTGTCTCCTCGCCTTCTCTTCTTCCGCTTTCTTCCTGTTCTCTTCATCTGAAGCCTTGGCCATGTTTTCGAACCGTGCCTTCAGTTTTCCTGCACCTGCGCTTGCTGCATAGAACAGAGAAATGAATACAGTGCATCAGCGCTATAGAACATGGGAACGCCTCAGTATTGGTGGCCTTAAATGTTCGCCAGGAAAGATGACACGGCAGGAACTTACAGGCCTCTACTGGTTTTGTCTTCTCATAAGCAGAGGCAGGAGAGTCGATGTCTGAGAAGCCAGCTGCGCTCTAAGAGAGATCAACAGAGAGGAAGATACATTTGTTTGAAAAGGTGATAGATAATGGTTTAAACGTAGAGATTGTTGCTTGTTTATGTTATTTTTTTGTCCTTTTATTGCGCACAGTGACGGCCCTCACAGTCCACTTTCACTTGCCCAACATAGAGCAAAGAATAATGGTACAAGGATGGGCTCTGGTTGCCTGAGCAGGGACATGCACAGACCACGATGGTGCTTTATCTCAGCCATTTGTGAAAGCACGGCCAGTCCTACAATAAACTGGTCCTAAATAGAGCAAAACACTGAAACCAGATACAAGAACCTCTGAGCAGCCACATAAACCACATTCCTCGTACTTGATGTCAACAATCAATATTATTCACACACCCAATGCTTGTACAACCCAGTGCTACTTAATGTGAGACAGCTTACAGCTTACTAAAAGAGGCAAGAATAGGAATAACAATAAGAAAAATAATCAATATTAATGCCAATAACGTGTAACTTAGCTCTGTTACAGTGTACATTTTCTTTAAAGGTTTAACTTACTGTGATTCGCAACTTTAGCCGAGCTACATCGTCTACAATATTTAGGCCAAAAAGATTATATATATATATATATAATAAAATAAAATATATATATATAAAAACCCATTAAATGTTTAATGGGGATGTTACATTTTACAAAAAACTTCTCTGATTAGTTGATTAAACTCTAATAAACTTATCAGAGAAGTTTAAAAAAAACAACCATCCAGATCAATCAGCAATGAAAGTAATGAATAGTTGCAGCTCTGATACTGACCTTATCCATGCGGTCTGCCTGTACTCCATAACGACCTCCGAAACCTGCTGAATAATCTAAACAGAAATACATGTGATCAGTCTGACGTACTTTAAGTCCTCTGATACTTTCAGATAAACACGTGGGAGTGTCCTCACCTTTCTGTGACTGATGTTTCTCCGTCTCGCCCTTATAATCGTATCCCAACGCAGCTTTATCCACCTTCTCCTTCTCAACACCAAACTTCCCTCCAAATCCCTTTGAGTAATCTAAATGTGAAATGCGTAAGAGCACAGTAATCAGTTGTCAGGAGTAAAAGACGTTAAAGCTGACAAATGCTACAACTCAAACTTACCTTTCTGTGACTGGTGCTTCTCTGTTTCTCCTTTATAATCGTACCCCAAAGCAGCTTTGTCCACCTTCTCCTTCTCCACCCCGTACTTTCCTCCAAATCCCTTAGCATAGTCTGGTGGAAATGAGATGCAAATGCAAAATAAAGCAAATGTCAAGCAATTACTGTCAAAACTGACAGCTGCTACTATTTAAACTCACCTTTTTGTGACTGGTGCTTCTCTGTCTGCCCTTTATAGTCGTAGCCCAAAGCCGCCTTGTCAACTTTCTCCTTCTCCACACCGTACTTTCCTCCAAATCCCTTCGAGTAATCTAAAAAACGTTGCAAGGAAAATGATGGATGAGATCTCTTCTGGTAGGTAGCAAGGAAAATATTGCACTGTAAGTGAGAAGGCCTCATTGTAGCTGGACGGAGGACTCACCTTTCTGAGACGTATGTTGCTGCACCTCTCCTTTGTATTCGAAGCCCATGGCTGACTGCACAGACACAGAGATTGCATTTAAAGTTCATATAAGACTAAAGATCCCTCCCAAAAATGTCACGAACATTTAAAAATCCTCTGCTTTGAATAATAATGAGTCTGATATAGTTTTTCTACAAAAAAGATCTAATTACTAGTCAAAAAATCTATAAATTCTTCCTTATTTAAAAATCTCAAAGTCTTAAATCTTGCATTTTCAAGTTTCCACATATGCACAAGTTGCATATTCGACCATGATTGGCTCCCAAACTAGCTGTGTTAACTCAAAATGATGTTTTAAACATGAAGGTAAAGGTGAGCACACGTGTGAAAACAGTCTTCTAGTGTTAAACTCTACACTTCAGTAAAGGCCAAACATCCAAGTGAAGTAATAATAATAATCAAATCTGTGACACTTTGAGGATTATGGGTAGACTCGTCTTCTCACCTTGTCAACACGGTCTTTTTGAACACCAAATTTCCCACCGAACCCTTGCGCCGCATCTTTCTGGGAGGAGTGCTGCTCGACTTGTGCCACGTAGTCGTGCCCCAAGGCCGCCTGGACAATGGAGATACACTTATTAACAGATTCAGCCTACAGTGAACCATTTATATCTGCAGCCGGGTGGACTGGGAGCAGATAACAGGAGCTTAACAATTTGTCTACCTTGTCCATTCGGTCCTTCTCCACTCCAAACTTCCCTCCGTATCCGTAGGACGCTTTGGGAACGTGTTCCTTCTGCTTCACCTGCTCGTGTTCCACAGCGACTTTGCTTCTGAGCTCTGCAACACTGATGAGGTCATACAGGGTCAAACATACTCACACTGAGATAAACACCAGTACACACAATAATAATAATAATAATAATGATAATATTAGTCATTAGAAATTAGGACTATATATCAGTAATACCTAACAAACTAAAGGCAGTTTCAAAGTGTTCTCCAGACATTTAAACCATAAAAAAGAACTGGAGACAAACTTTAAATTAACTTGAATTTAAATTAAAGAATTTAGGAGGCAATTCTGATATTTAAATGAAAATAAAGACATACAACCATAATAAAAGTGATACAACAACATTAGAGGGCAGACGAAGTTGATACAAATTCCCCAAGTTTCTTATTTGCCCAATAAACAGTCTGAAATGTAACTATACTCCACAAAATGTATAATGATATTAAACACAGAAAGGCAGCAAATTGTATTATTACAGCTGGACTAGTAATATAAAAAGGAACAACATTTCTACTACTGTCATCATTTATATATTATATATTATAAGCTATATTATGGTATTCTTTTCCATGTCTAAGTAGTATAAACAATATAGTATATAGTGTTGTATTATTACTTTATAGTGTGTGTATATTTCACACACATATATTTACACATAAAACACAATATTATTTAATATATATTATTATGTATAGTGTCTTTATTTTTCATGTTTATTATTCAAACTCTCTTCTTAAATCTCTTGTTTAATTTTCATTCATTTAATTCATTCATAATTTAATATAACCTTTAACAGGGATCAATAAAGTCTCATTTTATTAACTGATTAACTGATTCAGCACTAGTTAAAGTTGTGAATATCACAGTAACAAGTCAGTAAGTAATAACAGTTATACTCTGTGCTCAAAGTTCACACTTATTCTTGGCCTGCAAAAATAGTCATATGCATCTTTATCACACACACATAAACACATTCAGAATAGAAAAATCTATAAATAAAATCACACTCTTAACGGTTAAGAGTTTATATGTTAAAACAAATAGATTTTTTAATGATTAATATAGAATCTACTTGCTTTTAGATAAGTTATGAGCCATTCATAGATTTATTTTGGTTGCAAGGTTGTGAGAAGAAGAGATTATGATTTCTGTGTGATCATAAGGAAGTTGTAAATGTTGCATCAAGTCAAGAGTTATAAAAGTTAATAAGTTGATAATAAATCGATTTTGGTACAGGTATTCTGCAGATTTTTTCACAGATGGTATCCTGCTGGAGGAGGAGGAAAAGGGGATATTGTAAAGCATTGTATTAGAAAGTTGTCCCTCAGTCTGTGAGCAACCTCTAGTCCCATTCTCACACTGGGCATTGCCTAAATTTATGGTCTCACCATGTCAGCAGCGAGAAAGCACAGTGGTTTAAATCTAGTCAAAGTGTCATCATCATATATTACCCATATTAGGAGAGACTTGCAGCCCTGACAGCTCTGCACTCTGCTCTCACTTCCTCTTCCTGTTGCTTCACAGCACCCACTCTGACCTGCATTTTCTCTACATCGTCTAAAGAAACGCTCTTTTCCAGACGCTTCTCTCTTTTACCTGATGTGCTCTTTGCGCCCCGAGCCCTCGATGGTCTTTGCCCCCCACCTCTGCTCCTGCTCTGATATGTCATTCTGAAACACATGGTCAGAAAGGGGTTGACTAAGGAGTGTTTGCACCAACACACACACATCATCCCAAGTGACACACACACACACACACACACACTCCACGAAGTACACCTCAAAGTCAGGGTCTGTCTCCCAGTCGTCCCCCTCTGCAGCCACCTTCATGCTCACATTGTGGCCCACGACTGACTTCCACATCTGGGGGAATAAAAAGCACACACACGAGCCAGACTGAAAACACAGATTAACAACTGTTATACTGTCTGTTCATTGGCTATTTGTTATGATGACTAAATAAACTCATGCACAACCACACGCTCTGACCACCATTTGCTGAAGTCCCAAAAAGGAAGTTATTTTGAACACGAAGCTTCATTTCCCCATAATGAAACACACTTCAGAACTTTCGTGTCGTAAAAAGAAACTAAAATACTTTAAGAAACAGTCTCATAAGGTCAGGTCATAACATATTATTTAGGTAAAGTAATGTAATGTAGACCCTAAAATATTCTCTAACACACTGAAAATAACATGTATTCCTTGAGGTAGGAATAAAATCTATCCTCTGTATTAATCTATTATATAACATGCAAGGTTAAACATAGTCACTATTTAAGTTGAACTATAATTTGACTATATTTTACTGTAATAAATGGTAGTTGTAGGTAAGTAACTGTAGTAGTAACAGTGCTACACACACAGGTACACCAGCTCTATATCTTACTGTATAGTTTTATCACTTTATAAGTTATATCCACGACTGTCTATAAATGTCAGAGTCATTTAATTATTAATATAGCCCCATTAGCACATATGTTGCTGACGGTTTACAGTTAGACTGCGTCTGACTGGATCTACTTCCTTAATGTTAGTTGAAAGATGAATAAAATAAAAGCAGATAAAAAGAGGTCTGTTAGTGAAGTTAGGTTGAATTAAAAAAAACAACATTTACCTTTTCAGTTGTCAATGCAATATGTGTAGGTGTTTAAAGTGGGTATTAAACACAAAGTGCTCTTAAGGGTCTTCACGCAAGTTGTGGCAGTCTGATAGGCGACGAGTGAACGCGCAGCCAGCCCACGTGAACGCGCGTTGATGTAAATAATAAAACAATTGTTGTCCCAGTGTATTATTATAATTATTATTATTTTATTAATAAACAACACTTACACGCCTCTTTTCTTGCAACAGTTTAAAAATTATACAGCAAAACTTATATTCAAAGTTTTTTTTAAAGAAATTAAAAATAAAATAAATGATGCATTCAAGTGCTTCACGGAAATCCGACCACAAGTAGTACATGGGGAGTTTTAGGATGCATAAGCTGGTACAACCACAAACAATAATGTGCTATCACTTCGTCTTGTTGTTTTACTTTCTAACTTTTAAAAAGATTTTTCTGAACACTGCAGAACAAACAGTGATTTAGCCTGTTGTAGTGTAGTTACAACACTTGGGGGCAGACTCACACAGCTTTATCCTCTCGGCTCGTACTGAAACACAGCACTCACACTCAAGGACCATAGTAACTAAAAATAATGATCTTATATATTTAAAAATAAATAAAAATGTCCCTGTTTGTTTGTTTTTGTTGATGTTTTGTACAGAAAGCATTTTAAATTTGATTTTCCTGTCAAGGTTAAAAGCTGTCAAATCATTTTGGACAAAAAAAAAAAAAAAGAAATCCATTAAACCATATTCTGATAGATTCACACACACATACGCACATTATTTACATGAAATACAATAACCTCCCTGTAGGAAAGTTCATAATTCTGTTTACCATATCCACTATGTTTAGTCTTTATTCTGAGCTACAAGCTATTACTTTTGCTTTTATTCAAAACGTGCCTTCATGTGTTTATATAATTCTAGTGTTTATAAAAACCAGCATTTAATTGTTACTTTATACATTACTTAAATGTTATAGTATGTTAGGACTCTATAATACTATACTACAATACTGTGGAATATGTATATAGGCTCTTATTATATTTCTATTTCCATTTTTATTTAGCGAACAAATATCCCCCCGGGGATGGGGATCAATACAGTATTTCTGATTGATTCTTATTATCAACCTGAGCTTCATATTAACCGTCAATTAAGTTGAGATGACGACGAAAAGCTCAGCTTACAAGTATGACTGAGTATTTATTCAAACAGCAAAATCACTGATGGAATGATAATCCATTTATTCTTAATCAATTCACAAATAAAAGGAAATATTATCATCAACTGACTTGAAAATGAAAATGAACCGAGCTTAAATAAACAGTAAATAAAAGTAACAACATCTGTTACAAATGAGCAAATAATTAATGCTTGACAATATCGGCCCCTGATCTAAACCACCAACTTTTATTACATTTTATTTTTCTTTACAGCCCTTTTTAAACAGTTATTTACAGTTTAAAGTATTTTTCAGTGGGTGTAAGATGTGAAGAACATGAATGTGAAAAGAAGACGAGTACAGAGCCATTATTTCAACCAACAGTGAGCGATTAAATAAAACAATAAAGAATAAAGGATGATGTCGACATATATGTATGGTAGTGGACGATTTTTCAACTTATGGATAATAAATTATGCTACATCATCAGAGTAGTCTATAATGGGATGGATATCATTAGAAAACACAGCAGTCTTTCTCCTCTGGAATGAATCCACACTGTGGGAAAACATTGCACCTGAAAGGCAACTTCATATGCCATAAAAACTACAGAGTAAAATCTAAAACGTGTGCAACCGAAGCATGGACAGGGAATCTTATTGGATACTTAAGAGGGAAACCCACATCCAGCTGACGTATATAATACATGTACATATGTACAAATATCAATATAATGCTCCTTTTTGTTTTTTTTAAATGTGATTCATATAGGAGGGAAATAAAAAGAAAAACACACAATAGGAATGTGTACGAACGGAAATTGCACTGTGCTCCGTTACTTTGTGCATGAAATGAGCAGAAGAGGAAGAGACTGGACTATAACAGCACATCCTGAACCTCAAGCCATCAGAGAAAGAAAAGTTTGACTTTTTTTTTTTTTTTAAGGGGGGGGGGGGGAATACAGCTTAGTCGCTTTCTGGCAAAAGTTTGATGTCAAGATTGTTCTCTCTGTTAAATAGAAGACTACAGAAAGCAGCCTTAACACAAAACCTGGGGGAAACTCAGCATGGAAAGCTAGCACATGTAACAGTCAGCAACATCTTGTTTGTTTAATCTGTACAAAAACTGAAGTGGAAAAACCGACACTTTGCAGTACTACGCTACTTTTGGTGGCAATAAGTAACTTTCTTTGAGTTGCTGATGGTTGCCCGGCAACCGCTTGGCGCCAAAACGCAGTCCGGTAACAGACCACCGCCACCAGCACACGCGCAATCTCCGTCAAACACCTAAATGTCTCTTTTACTTCTGTTTCTGTACGAATTAAACAAACGATATGTAATGTAGATGTTGATTAGTGAGGCTCTTTGAGTTGCTTGGTGATGTTTGGTGGATGTTGCTGCCGTTTAACGGAGCCAAGATAGCTCCATTTCCGGTCTCGATGCTAAGCTAACGGCCTGCGAGCTTTGGCGTCACATTTAACGGACGGACCGAGAGAAATCGATCTCACCTGAACCCTGCATAGCCCCCCCATTGCTCCAACATAAAGTGACCCTTTTATATCCGAATCTAAAGGCACGTAAAGAACACAATCCGCCAAAAAACTTGATAATGAACCTACTTATAGATTTTTTTTTAGAAAGAAAAATTGTCCCTTTAATGTCCTCTCTACTTGGGTTTTGAAAAAACTTATCATGCATCCTCAAAGTCATACAAGAGCAACATAGTTCAAACCACTGACAACAGCTTCCTATATAAATCTACATACTTTGGCTAAAAGATTAAGTCCTGTAAAGTGCAACGTTTGTGTCTAGATATAATTTATTACATGTGACAATATAAAACATATCGATGGCTTGGGTTAGGCCTGTGTCACATCTCCATTTTCTTTCCCCTCCTCTCTCTCTCTCTCTCTCTCTCTCTCTCTCTTTCTCTTATCTGTCAAGTATTTAAAAGGGAGCTGCTTTTCAAAGGTATCCGCTCAGACACAGCAGCAGCAGGACGTGCACAGTGAGCAGATAGAGGCTGAACAGCAGAGGGGTGCGCTGACGGGAGCAGAAGGCCACGCGGAGCATCCGCACCAGACCCGGTCCACCTCTCCGAGTCTGCAAAAGAAAAGACAAGGTTACAGGAAACAATCGGCTCGTACGTCTTTATTACCGCCGTTATTAAGATGACAGATGAGGTGGTACGGGGCCATTAGCGGAGCCTTACTCGAGTGACAGCTCCTTCCGGCGGCTCGATGAAAACAGCAGTCTCTGAGTGATCCTCCTCTTGTGCAGAGTGTCGTTTAGCCTGGCTGTGACTGATAATAATAATAATAATAATAAAAACAGATGTTAGCTGTCATATTTTGTTGATTAAACACATTTATCAGAGCTTTAAAAAGAAAAAGGCACTAAATGAATTCAATATGTAATTACAACATTTAATCAAGGGCGGTAATAATCAATGACTTATATACACTCTATAACCTTGATATATGGAAGAGCAACATAATACAACACTTGTAGTCTTATTGTGCAAGGTGTTTAATTTAGAATTGAAATAATTAATTGACTTATCAATTAGTTGACTGACAGAAAATGATTATTAATCATCCAAAAATTTTTCCCTTAGTCTTCTGTTGGGTTTTGGACTGTTTTTTTACACAAAAACAAGCAATTTGAGGATGTCAGCTTGTTTTAGGGACAACTGTGATGTGAATTTCTGACATTTTATAGGTCAAACAATAAATTGAGAAAATAATTGATTGACTGATAACAAAAACAATTGTTAGGTGTAGCTCTAGTATATTTATGGTGTATATAGCTATAGTATATACCTCTATTTATATGCTTTATACTCTTTATACTGTTGAGAGTATTCTAGTTTTATTAGGTTACACACTGTAAACTGAACACTGACATATCATCAATCTTTTATGTTAGCAAACATTTGCTAGTTTACTGTGCACATCCAGCAGTTTTGGAGCAACATTAGCATTTATTTGCCTTGTCCACTAACTCCTGTAGGGAAAGATCTGTCTCTTTGGCTGCTATAACTGCTCCACTATTTTCACCAGCTAGTCGCTTACTTTGTGTGTCTGTAGGTTTTGTTTGTTTTGTTTTGTTTGTTTTGTTAAACTTGTATTTATTCAGGGAAGGTTCGCTGAGAGGCAGCTTCTCTTTTGCAGGAACACCCTGATCACATTTTCACTGTTACACATTCACATCTGGAAGCTGGACCTCTGTAGGTTTGGCACTACAAGCTAACCCTCTTCACATTACACATATGATCTAAACATATTGCTCATAGCAGCTTTAACTTCCCTACACGGGATTTACAGCCTCTTTGATCTTGTATCACATTTCATACCGTTTGAGTCGATCCTGTGTGTCCATTAGCTGTTCCTCAGCAGCCACCCTCTGCTGCATCTCTTCTTCCAGCCTGAATTTAAAGTTACAAATCAATTAGTATCTGCATGTTTTATCATACTGCTTGCAGAACAGTCTTTCTGGTCAAGTTTGGCCTATACTATACCTTCTCTGTAGCTCTTTGACCTCAGCTATGTAGGTGTGGCTGTCCAGCTGGCTACTTCGCTCCTGCGGGGCTCCAGGAGCACTGTCCACTTCCTCTGTGCCCTGTGAGAAGACAATGACAGTGTAGAGAATTCACATTATGTGCTACATCCTTATCTTGTTGATTTTGTAGTTTATATTGTGCCTTCTGCTAGCCACTTCAGGGCTCACAAGTAGATTTTGATTCATTTTAAGGGGAAAGAAGTCAAAAAGGTTGGGAAATGACTTAAATCCTGTGATTTTAGCAACGGTATCAACAGAATCTATTATTTTCCTGGTACAAATACAAGCAAATGTTTAGGCCGCTACCTCTCTTTGATAGTGTTCTTGCTGAAGTTTGGGTTTATGAGTGCGGGCTTCCTCCAGCATGGCGCTGAGCTGCCGCAGTTGTTGGTCCCTGTCTGAGAGTGTGGTGAGGGTCTGCTGCTTCAGCTGCTCTGCTTGAGCCATCCAATCAATACGCTCCAGTCTGAAACAAATTCACATTCAATTAAAGACATTTTTGTTTGTTAAAACAGTGACTATAATGACAAAACGCTGACTCTGTGCCTCACCTGAGAGTTTCTATTTCTTGCTTGCTCATTTCTACCACATTCTCTAGCTGCATTATGACGCTCAGCATGTCTTCGTTCTTCTTTTTCTCCTCAAACAGCTCCTGGCTGACTTTAATCAGCTCTCCTGCTCCCAGTCGAGCCAGCTCTGACTTCTGTTTCTTGAGCTCAGATGTCTGTGTTTGAAGCTGCTCCAGCTGCGCACAGAGAAGGAGAAGCAAAAAAATACCTTGAAATTCTCCAACATCAATGAAAATCATAAATAAATAATCAAAATAATACAAACTATCACATCCTTGATATTTTTTTGCCAGGAGAGTTGTAGTATCTGTGCGTTCATGACTGAAATATTTACATTTCTTGTCTGACACGTTACCCACCAGTCTCTCCCTGTCATTCTGCAGGGCTTGTAGTGCGTTCTTCAGCCCCCACACCTCTCCGGTGGAGCCTCCGGGGCTGCTGTGTGCTGCGTGGCCACCTGCCTTGCTCATCTCTTCTAGCTTCAGGCTCAGCTCCTGGGCCTTGTTTACTGCCTGGTCCCTGCTGTCCTGGAGGGAGGCCATAGCTTTTGAGAATGACTGGTTCTCTGCTTTGAGCTTCGTCGCCACCTCTTTCTCCTCTAGCAGCCTCTGTTCGACAGCCAGCAAGTCTCGGGCCAGCTCTGCCACTCTCTCCTGGGCGTTCTCCGACTCTGTCCGCATCACACCTCCCTCCCATCGAAGCTCAGCTAGCTCTTTGCTACTGCTCTCCTGCCCCTGTCTCTCCTTCAGTAGGGTCTCCTCCAAAGCCTCCACTTGTTCTCTCACTGCTTGCAGCTGCTCCCTCAGCTTCTCAACCTCTGCACCGGGCGCATCCTTCACCTGCGATGCGGTCGTAAAGTCAACAGCTTGACTAAGAGTCTCCCTTTCTACTCTGCCTGCTTCTACTTCTGTCTCTCTGACTATGTTAACACTCTTTAACTGACTTTCCAATTCCTCACGTTCTCTTTCCAGAGTGGCAATACGCTCTCGCTGAGCTGCCAGAAGCTGTTTGTGTTGGGACTCCTTCATGCTCAGGACTTGGTTAAGTTCATCACGGTAGCCGTGAAGCTGAGCGGACAGCTTGGCCTTTTCAGCATACAGGTCATCTCTCTGGACCAGCAGAGAGCGCAGCTCTTCCTTCAGGCTGTTGTTTTCTCCTGCCGCTTCTTGGATAAGACCATCCTTCTCCATCATCACCTGTGACACAATGAAAGTATTATATAGACCACTGAAACAAGCTCTACATATACTGGAACCTTTATGTGTTTGTGTGTTACCTGCAGGTGTTTCTCCTCCAGCTGTTTGTACATGTTGAGGACTCTGTCTCGGTCATCCTGCAAGGAGCCCATGGCCTTCATGAAAGAGTCCAGTCTGGTTTTTCTGTTGTTGCTCTCTTCCTCTGCCTTTCGTAGTTTTTCTTCCAGATCCCGCACTTCGCCTCGTCTCTGCTCCAGCTCCTCCTCTGCTCCTTGTGCCCTGCTGTCAGCCTCCTTCCTAGCCTCTTCTGCTGCCTGGGAAATAAAACACACACATGAATTTTGATGAATTTTTTAAAGAATATTTGCCAAATGATTTCTCAGCACACATTCATGAAAAACAGTCTGACTGTAGTTGAAAACATGTCAATACCTCAGTAACAGCTTGCTCCTTCTCCCCCAGCATTTCCACCTCTCTCCTTTCCTTCTCATTTAACTCAGTCTGTAGACTCTCTGTCAAGGCCTTAGAGGACCGCAGGTCTGTCTCTAGTTGCTCAACGTTCAAACACAGCCGCCTCTCTTCTGCCTCCCTCTCTTTCAGCTCAGCCCTGGCCTGGTCAACTTCGCCCTGCAGCCGACCTACCGCCTCCTCCAGAGCTCTAGCCCTCTGATGGAGACTCTCCACCTCATTTTTCAGGGCCTGGGCTTCGTTTTGTGCAGACTGCAGCTCAGTTGTAGTTTGCTGAAGTTTGCTCTTCTCCTGCTCAAGGGCAGCTTGGCTCTCTGTGACTTTCTTTTCATCCTCTTCCAGTTTCAGCTGCAAATCTTTGTTTGCTTTCTCTAGTCTGAAAGAAAAGATCTTGTGAGTTTTGAGTTAAAAAGCTGAACAGGGAAATAAGATAAATACAAAGAGAGGGTTTTTACCTTTCCACTGCGAGCTGAAGTTCCTCTTTCAGGGCAGATTCTCTCTGAAGCTCTTCTGCCAGTTCCTTGGCCCGTGTTTCAGCCTCCCGAACTTCAGCCTCCTTACCCTGCAGAGCATCATTAAAGCGAGTTTCCCACTGTCGGGCCTCATCCAAAACTCTGTCCCGGTCATCTTGCAATGAGGACATGCAACGTGAGAAAGCGGCTAACCTGGCCAGAGACTCATCCAGACGAGCTTGCATCTCTTGGGCCCGTCTCTCAGCTCCTTCAGCGATCTCTCTGGCCTCCAGAGTGGCTTCCTCTTCCTTTTCCCTTTCATTGTATGCATCTTCCAGTCTCAGCTCCATCTCCTTTAATTCAGCTCCCAGCCTGAATCTCACAGAGTCAAGGGTTTGTTCTGCCTCAGCTCTCATCATGGCCTCTTTCTGTTGGGAGTTCTGTTCAAGGGTTGTTTTCTCAGCTAAAGCCTCGCCCGCCTGCCGCAGGGCCTCATCCAGCTTGGATTTGCAGCTCACCAACTCTGCCTCAGTCCTTTTCAAGTCTTCTACAGTTTTGGAAGTCTCCTGCTGGGATTGTTCTAGTTTGTTGTGGAGCTCATCGTGGCCTAGCTGCAGCGCCTTAGCTTCTTTGCCCAGTTCACTGATCCTCTCCTGGTACTGGATGCAATCCTTCTGCAGCTGACGGACCTCCAGCTGCTTCTCCCTCAACAGTTCTTCCAGCTGACGTGCTCTGCTCTGACTACCTTCCCTGACCCTTTGAGCAGACCTCAGCTGTTGCTCCAGCTCCCTCTGCTTGCCAGACTCTGCTTCAGCCTCAGCTCTTTCTCTCTGGGCTTGCCTCATGTCCTCCTCCAGCCTGGCAGCCCGGTCACGCTCACTCTGAGCCTCGGCTTCGAGTTCGGCTCGCTCCCTCTCCAACCTCTCCACCTCCCGCTGCAGCTCATTGAGGTGCTCCCTGTTGTCCGCTGCCTCTTGCTGGTAGCCGGCGATGCTCCCGTTGAGCTGAGCCAACTGGTTCATCAGACGCTCCTCCAGGTTGTCTTTCTCAGTTTCAAGGCTTCTGAGGAGCTCTTTGAACTGGACTTCCCTCTTTGAACCCTCTTCAATCAGGCTCTTTTCTCTCTCTTTGCTCTCTTGAAGGCACTTCTCCAGGGAGGCCACGAGGCTCTCCTTCTCTTTACTCTCATGAAGATCTCGCTCAAGAGAAGCCAGTTGAGCTTTGAGTTCAGCCTCCTGTTCCTGCCACAGTTCCCTTTCTGCAATGACAGCTGCCTCCATCTCCCTAATTTTATCCTCTAATAAATCTTGAATACCTTTAGTCATTTCTGCTTGCTCTTTTTCCTCAGTAGGTTGCACATGTGTTTCTGGTGCATGCACTGCAGCTATTTGGTCAGTTGGCATCTCCTCAGTGGTTATGGCTAGTTCTTCTTTGTCTTCAGACTTACTCTCAACAGGCTCTGCTCTCGTCATCATTAGGTCTGATTGCTGGGCAGTGACAACCTCTTCTACAATAGCCGAAGAGCTGGGCAGAGAATCCTGAATTACATTGTCTTCTTTGTCTCCTGTTTGGGCAATCTGTCCCCTCAACTCTTCAATCTGCTGCCCTAAAGAGTCTCTTTCTGCCACTGTAGCATCCAACTCAGCTTTCAAAGCCCCCAGCTCATCTTGAAGTCTTTCAACTTCAGCTTTGAGAGCCATGCCCTCTCGTTTTATTCCGGTCTTTTCCTGCATCTCTCTTAGTCTCTCATTCTCCTCCTCTAAATCAAGTATTTTCTGCTGCTTTGCTTTGGCAAACTTTCTCATTTTGTCTTTTACTGTATCCACCTCTTTCTGTGCCTCTTCTGCCTGTCTTTCAGCTTCCTGCTTGGCAGCCTCATGCGTTCTCACCCTGGCTGCAAGCTCTTGTCTCTCCTGCCTGGCAGCTTCCAGGACCCGCCTCACTCGCTCTGCCTCGTCGCTCACGTTCTCATATGACTTGAGCAGAGTCTCATACTCGTCCTTCATGCCTTGAACCTTTTCCTCCCATTCTCTGCATGTTCTGGTGGCCTCTTCTTTAGCTAACTCCACTTCTCTCTTACAGGCATCTTTCTCATTTAGTATGCCCTCCATGGCCAGTTTGAGGCTCTCACAAGATGATCCAAGGCTTTGGTTTTCCACTAATGTCCGGTCAACCTCATCAATCAGTCTAACTCTTTCTGCTCTTAGCTTCTCCAGCTCATCTTCCGCTGACTCCATTTTTTGCTGCAGTTCAGTTATAAGCATCTCTGTTGAAGCTAGCTGTTCCTTCTGGGTTTTGTTTTCTTTTAAGACCTCTTTGCGAGAGATCAGAGCAGCCTGAAGCTTCCGTTGAAGCTGCTGGATCTTTGCCTCGCTGTCTTTTTCTTCCTCTTGTTTCTGTGGAACCTCAAACTCTAACCTTTGGGTTTTTTCCTGCTCAGCCTTCAGTTCTTCCTGCAAAGAAGATATAAGCTGATCCTTCTCAGACACTGTTTCCTGCATTGAGAGTATGAGGGAGTTCTGCTCACTAAGCTGCTGACTTAGCTCCTTGATTTCATGGTTCTTATTGTCGAGGAACTGCTTAAAGTCCTCCACTTCAGCCTGAAGAGTTGCAATTGAGGATGTAGAATCTGTAGATGTTGCTTTGGCTGCAGCTTCCATCTCTGCTTTCAGGGTCTCAGCATAAGATTCAGCTTGGCGATGCTTTTCTCTAAGATCATTAATTTCCTCTGAGAGTGCATCAATCTGTCTTTCCTTTTCTCGTAGTGTTTGTAGCTCTTTGCCAAGTTCCAATAATTCATCCTCCTTCAGTGACAAACTGGCATGGGCTTCCTGCAGCTGCGTCTCTAGCTCTGTGTTAGCCATCCGCACAGTGTGGATCTCTTCTCTAAGAGATTTCAGAGATTCCTCCATTTGTGCAGAAAGGACGTCAGACTGCTCTGCAGGACGCTGAACTGGATCGCTGGATTGTGGTTGTGATGAATCCGTCTCCGATGTGGCAAAGTCCACCCAATCCTCCTGGACCCAATCACCTGCTGCCTGCTTTTCCAAATTTTCAACCAGTTGCTTGGTCTCTCGGTGAGACATGTCTTCTCTTTCAGTGCTCACATTTTCTTCTAATTCCCTCAGTTTAGTCATAAGAGTTACTTGCTCGCCGCTCTGCACCTCAAAACGCTCCATCAGCTCGCTGTATTCTTCTTTCTGCTGCTTCAGTTGCTCACGGTGGTGCCTATCTTTCTCTTTTGCTTTGCGGATGGTTTCCTTGCGAGATTCTTGGGCCTCCTGAACTTTCTTCTGAAGGGTTTCACATTCTGCTTCGAGAGAGGTCACTTGGGATTGTAATGCAGTTGTTTCAGAAGTAATGTCAGCCTGCTGAGTGTTTTCAGCTTCTTCAATTAGCTTTTTATTCAAAGCAAGGGTCTCAGTGAGTACTTGATCCTGCTGGCTAATTTTCTGCTCAAGAGTCTCAACTGCCTCTTCTTTGGATCTTAAAGCTTGCTCGAGTTTGAGGAGTTTTCCCTCCATTTCCTGAATCTCATGTTCTCTAGATTGTCCTACCTCTGGAATGTTTGCAGGAGTTTCTCCCTTTGCGGTCTCATCTTTCTCTTTCAATTTCTTTGCTTCTACCTCAAACTCAGCAACTTTCTTCATGAGCTCTTTGCGTTGGACAAGTGCAGCCTGCAACTTCTTCTTTGTGTTTGTCAGTTGGGTTTCCAGTACTCCCTTTTCCTTCCTTAAACTAGTGAGTTCACCATCTACCTGAGCATCTGAGTCTTCATAACTTACTTTCTGTTTCTCATCTCTGACTTTCTCCAGTTCCACTATCTGCTCCTTCAGTTTATTGACTTCACCGTCTGTCTGGAACTTCTCTTCTTCTGCTTGAAGGAGCTTAGCAGACATACTGTCATTTAGCTCCATTACTTCCTGCTCTTTTTGGCTGAGAAGGAGCTGTAGCTCACTGATCTCAGAGTCCTTCTTGGACAAAGTATCATTGTTGAGCTCTGATGTCTGAGAGTATTCCAACATGCTGTTTTCCATATCTTGAAGCCTCCTTTCAAGCTCAGAGGAGAGAAGCTCCCTGTCCTCCAGCTGAGCACTCAGCATCCTGGCTTGCCCCTCCTGTTCAGAGAAAGCTTGGCGTGCCATTTCCAGTTCTGCCTGCAGGGCCTGGATTTTGTCCTCCTTGGTTTTACTTTCAGTGTTTAAAATGTCTATCTGTTCTTCTAGAAGCTGCATTTCAACACTGTGTTTCTCCACCCCAGAGCTGCTTTGTTGAGAAATCTTGTCCAAGTCCTCTCTGGCTGACTTAAGTTCCTCTGCAAAACTATTGGCCTGGGACTCGGCCTCTTCTTTGGCAGCAGTAAGGGACTGTGTGTCTTCTTCCAGGCCCTTGATTTTCTCATGTGACTCAGCAGCTGCCTCTCTGAGCCTCTGAAGCTCAGCCAAAAGCTCACTGTACCTCTTCTGAAGTTCCTCAGCTAAGGCCTGAGCAAAGACCTGGCCAGAGGGAACGTTACCCTCTGTGGGGGAAGAATTCTGCTGAGTCAGATGAACTTGTACCGTCTCTCGGATGATGACAGAGGAGGACTCCACTTGAACTGTGGAGGTTTCCGACTCCATGCTCGTCGCCTCCCACGACTGCAACTGCAGCTGGCCAAAGTCTTGCAGGATGGATGGCCACTCCTGGCCTCCATCTTGATTCACAGCTTCCAGGAGGGTCCAGCTGCTGTGGGCCACCTCTGAATCACTACTGGCGACCATCTCATCTGAGGAGGTCCCTTTGGATTCTTCTGGGGATTCAGACTGGTGTCCAATAAGCTCTGGGCTACTCTCATTATCAGCAGAAATGGAGAGGACTGAGGTGTCCTCAGCAACTAAGGTGGTCTCCTCTTCTTGTGTATCCTCCATGAAGTCAGGAAGGGCTGCAGAACTGTCATGGGGGGGCGTACTGGCATCCTGACCCTGTTCTGTAGTCTGATTGTAGTTTTCACATGATGTAACTTCACTAATGCTGTGCTCTTGAGCCAGTCTGAGGGACTCCTGCAAGGCAACCAGCTCATTGTCTTTTTCAAGTAGCTGCTGCTCCAGTTCAAGTATGCAAGCTGGGGGAGTCAACAAAGAAATATGGAATTAGAAAAACATAATGTCTCAATAGAAAATCCATAAAGTTTTAACAGTAATTGTTTTACATGAGCAGTGACAACTCTGAATGAAGTGAAAGTGTCCTGGCTTCAAACTAAGATATCAATATAGCCGCTAGGATATATTACTGCTCAAAGTTCATACTGAGAGCTTTATAAATGAATACTTAACGAGGCAAAATCAATCCCAGAAACAGAATGAACCATTTTTATTATCTTGAACAGTCTAGTGTAAGACCTTTGCACATTACATGCTGTACATTAAACAAATCCAGAGAGAGGATAGGCAAGTCTGTTATATTGTGTCCTGTATGAGTAGTAAGTAGACTACTTATACAGGACATAGAAGTATGACTTTGTAAACTTTTCCTTTGTACTGACTGAAAGGCCAAATACATGGACACCTTCATAATACCACAATGATTCTTAAGGGATTATGGTAAACTCAATTTCTATCAATTTGTTACAATTAAAATAAAGATAAATAATAAATAAATACAAGAAAAGTGGGTATCAGTGTGTAAGAATCACTTTAAGGTTGTAGCTGGTAATGGTAGATATCATTTTACCAACTTTATACTACTGGGTATAGTAATGCATCATATGGCAGCAACTAATGACTATTTTTATTTCTGATGCTTGAACATGCTGATCTTGACCATTACGTTTGATTCTATTTTCATGCAATTCATTTTATTTTTGGAGAGATAACCAACAAATCCTGTTTTTGTACCTTTTTTAGCTTCAGATGAATCCTGTGCTGATGGTTCTCTCTCAGACATCTGAAACAGAGAGAAACAAAAAATTAGATCTGGCAGACTTGAAACTTTTTAATCTCATGATTATGATCATCTACTATGATTTCTCTTACAATTTAAAATCAGCCACATATATGGCTGTAGTGTTGGGTTAAGGTCGAGCAGGACAGTCAGTCATAACAGTGGATCAGTGCAGAAGGGATTAGACGCACTTTCTCCCACTGAGTTTAAGTATTGTCTGTCTATGACCCTGCTTCTGCCCTGTCTGGGACTGCCTTACATCACCTGTCCAGACACCAGTTATGTCCCTGGACCAGTTGTAGAGGATAAGACCAGTCAGACAGCCCTGCTCTTAAATTACAAGTTGACTCTGCAAACTTTATTTTAATGAAAAGTGCACATGACACGGTTGTCTGACTTTGTAGATAGAACTACTTTAACTTCTTATACCTCAGCTTATACTAAGCTTCCAGTCCCTCATCTTCCACTTCAACACCTTTTTTAAAATCGTATAAACAGAGACGCAGCATAACAGAAACTCATTACAAAGGCACTGAGAAACTTTGAAGGTAAAGCTTTGCAGAGATGATACATCTTGCAGAGTATCAGAGCTTATTTAAGATTTCCTTTTGAAGTTTGTATCTCAAGTTAAAACAAGCTGCTGACATCTGGTGTTAAGCAGGTAATGATGCCCAAAACAACTCACACTGTGATTGTAATGTGATCTAATCAGCTAGACCATATTTGGTGGTGGTCAGGTTCGCATTGTGACTGAATCACAGCAAGTGTCCACATTCCTAAAATAGAAACCCCCGCCCAGCAAGTTTAAAGGTCATCTAACTCCGCCTCTTCCTGCTAGCTTAAACTGCCCGGCAAAAACTACAAGTAGTTAAAAAAGTGATTTAAAAATGAATGACGGCAGTTCCCTTGACCTTGAATGCACCATTATTCCTTATTTACATATTGAGATCTGATGACATCGAACGGAGAACTGAGAGAACAAGAATGTATTTTAATACCAGATGTAAATGCATAAGCCTGCAGATTGGATGCCGCTATCCAGATAATGTATCCAGATATAGATCATATGTTAATACCAGGATTAATTGTGTTCTTAGCACTGACCATTACAATCTGCTGCTCCAGCTCTTGTATCTTTTCCTCCTGTTCTGTGGTTTTTCTGTTTAATTGTTCTGAAAATGAGAGATTCATATTAATACCTCAATGCTGAACACATAAAGGTTGAGATTAACACACTGAATTCTCTAAACAGATTCATTTTTTTACCCTGAAGGGTTTCCATGGTGTGGGTGAGCTCGGCACAATGTTCCTCCCTCTCACTGCGTTCATCTTTCAGCCTTGTCAGTTGTCTCTCAATAGACTGCACAGCATCCAGGAACAGAGAAAGGTCAGCAGGGGAGGAGATTTCCTCTGCTGCTTGCACATCTTCTGGAGTCAGAGATCGTAGATGTTTCCAGATTTCAGCCAAGATCTCACCCTTCTTCTGGGCATCTTCATGCTCTTCCTTAAGCTCTCTCTCTAGTTTATCCACTTCTGACGTCTCCCTCTCTGACGCGTCCTGCCTGGCATGGTCGACTGCCACTCTCATTGAAGCAAGCTCACTTTCAAGCCGAACTATTTCCGCCCTGTCTCTCTCCAGAGCATCGAGGGTTGCTTGGGCGGCTGCAAGCTCATTCTCTTTCATCAGAGCCAGTTCTCCCTCCAATCTGGCAACTTCCACCTTCTCCTTCTCCAGAGCCTCCTGACTAACATGCTCTGCCTCTCTCAGTGAGGCAAGCTCGCTCTCTTGCCTCACCATCTCTACACTCTGTCTTTCCAAAGCCTCCAGGCTGATTCGGAGGGCTGCGAGTTCTGCATCGGCCCTGCTGGCCCGTTCAGCCCACTGCTGTCTCTCCTCCTCCCTCTGCTTGACGGCCTCGGCCAGCTCCTGCTCCATCTGCCGGAACTGAGCTGTCAAGATCTGAGCACAAAGAGAACAAGACGGAAAGAAGGAGGCTATAAGTGGGTGTGTGTTGTGTGGCTTAGCCAAACAATGCATAATAATGATATGCCATCGTGATGTAGGGTGTGTTTGTTTGAACAATCTTCTTTTCATCTAGCAGGACCAGTATTTATTCCAACTAAGGCATCTGTAAATATCTGCAAATGGCATCCAGAAGAACAGGATCTGTACCTGTTTTTGCTGGTCAGCACTGCTCACTTCTTGCTGCAGCATTTCAAGCACTTGAGACCGAGAGTTTAAGGCCTCCTCAAGCTCTTCACAACGCCTCTGTGCAGCATTCAGGGCCTAGGGGAAAGAAAACAAAAAAAAAGATCAAATGATTGTCAAAAGGGTGACTGTATCTTTGAAGTTTGGCCACCATATGCTCTTTCACTGGTGGATAAACTGGTGTTTATTCACAAGTTCATAAACTTTAATCAAAGAATGAGGAATTCCTCTTTTTAGCCAGACTTATTTTCAAGATAAAGTGTTTAGTTAAAGTTCATGGACTATGTTTGGAGTTTTTTTGTATCCAACTTGAGGGTCTAAGCTGGATAGGGGTCGCGTGTATTAAAGCCTTCTGAGACTAAACTGACATTGCTTTACAGGACAATAGTATAAAATTGAATTTGAGAATAATTGTTTTTAATACTTGATGTGCCTGTTGTACCAGAGATTAGATGATCAATTGATTAATTGATTGGTCGATAGGGAGAAAATAAGTCTGCAACAATTTTGATTGTCTTATTTTGAGCAAAAATGCTGGTTTTTATCTTTTGTCTGCAGTGTAGTAAACTAAAAATATATTTGAGATTTTGACTGTTGACTGACATTTTATAGACCGAACAATGAATCAAGGTAATAATCAGTATATTAACAGATAATAATTTATCAATAATCACAGTTAATATTAGTTGCACCTCTACAATCAACAAAAACAGATGAAAAAATGCTAACAAAAATACTAAAGAGTAGGTGTCAAATGGGTCAATTACAAATTCATAAACCACAAATTAGGAGTTTGTTATTTTAAGAACTTCTGGATCTTTTACCTGCTGAAGTTCTCCGTCATTCTGTGACTGTGTTGTGACCTTCATCAGCTCCTCTTCATGTTTCTGGATCTGTTCCTGGAAACGTACATCCTTCTCACAGACCACAGCCTGCAGCTTCAGCAACTAAAAAACAAACACACAACCAATCATTCAGAAAGAGCTTCCTCATGAAATTTAAAAACATCCATAACAAAGTCCAGAGCTACGTCACCTGTTCAGCATGGACAGATTCCTTCTCCTGAAGGAGCTGCTCGGTGGTCTGGAGTCGCTCCTGAAGCCCTCTGCTCTTGGCTTCCTCCTCGCTCAGCTTGTTCTTAAGTTCTTGGAGCTCCTCCTCGACCGCAGCACCAGCTCCTGTAAAAGAGCTGTCTGGACTTTGCTGTAGACAAAACAGATGTTCAAGTCAGATAAAAACCAAAGTGCCTCAGCTTTGTGGTTAAAGAGTGGCAGATCTTAGTCTGTATAAGATATCTGCTGTAGAAGCAGGGTTTCTGCAGGTTTCAACAGGTTAAATTTAAGACCTTTTATGACATTTTAATACAATTATAAATGCAATTTAAGATATATTTCACAGAAGTAACGTTAATTTCATTTAATCTAATCCATAATAAAACCTGTCGAAAACCACATTTAAGACATTTTAAGGCCTAAAAATTCATATTATTGGATTTTAACCTTTTTTAAGACCCTGTGGACCGCCTCTAAAAGGTAACTAGAGGATGATTTGTAATAATCCTACAAGCACTATAAACTTACTGCTGCTCCACCTTGTCCTTTCAGATCAGTTATCTGTTTGTTTAGTGAAGCCATCTTGGCTTTGGCCTGCAGTTTGAGTTTGGTGAAGCGAGCCTCAGCTTCTTCTTTCTCATTCTGCGGATACGAAGCATAAAAAAAAAACATTGGTGCCATAAAAGACGCTGGCTTGAAAGTCATGATAGCAAACAACACAAACACAGAAAGGTTATTTACCTTGAGCTGTGCATCTTTATTCACCAGCTCAGTGTCCTTCTGGACGAGCTGGGTGTCTTTGTCTCGGATGAGCTCCTTCAGCTGGACTACCAGTTGTTCCAGGTGAGCCAGCCTCTCCATGGCCTCCTCAGGTGCCTCAGACTCCACCGGAGCCTGGCCCTCACCGGCAGGGAGCTGAGGCACCAGCATGCCCTGTCCAAGGAAAACAGATACGGTCAGTTTATCTGTCACAGTTCGTGTAACAATGTCATCAGGGTCGTTTCGTCAAGAGTCAAAAGAGTTATGCCGTTAAGTTGTGATATCAGTGAACTTACTCAACAACATGTTTACATAACCTCTCAAATATGTAATACAAGACAAAACTGTCGTTAACCAATTATTGTACAGATAGGGTGCCTTTCTTTATTTGAAAAGATGAGAGACAAGCAGCCCTATCTTCATCCTCTTGTGGGATTTCAATGGTTGCTATGCTGGATAAAAATACTCCAGACGTATAATCTACATATACTCATTTAAAAGCTGGGGACACAGTTGGCAATACTCTTCATTATAATGTTTTATAATTAATGTGTTGCTCTCTCACCTGTGGGTCTCCATCTGGGCCCTCCTCTCCAGAGAGCTCCTGGAGGACTGTGGCCAGACGGCTTAACATAAAGATGGCACTGTGAGAGAGAGGAGGCGTAAATAAAACAATATCAGAGCTCTGAGCGTTAACTAACATTAGTAATGTCTGACATATAAATCATTCTTTAGCTGCACCTGTGCAAGCTATTTTCTGTTTGCGATAGATAATATGGTGGAAATGTAACCCATATTTTTCAAAGCATATCCGCTGTTGACGCTTTCTCCAATGTCCTCCATCATTGTTAAACCCCAGAATTATTTCAGCTGCAAGCATACATTTTAATTTTATTTATAGTAACATGAATGCAACCTACACTTAGACCTGTCTTATGTTTGTAATAGAGCATAACGTCTTTGCCAAGAACAGCATGAAGCTCCCTGATGCTGATGTTGAATGACATGTCCTCTGAAGGTGTGAATATACACACAGTCCCAAACATATTTAAGGTTTTTGATTTTATTATGGACATAAGTGCCTGCAGGAAGTGGCACATTGCATTACACTATAGCTGAAATTACTTGTAGAGTAGTCAAAGGATATAATAGTGGAAACTTATTTTGATAATCGATTCATTGTTTTTCAAACGTAGAAAACATTCCTGAAGCTTTTCTACTGTCTTTTGTGATAATAAACTGAATATATTAGGGTTTTGTAGTGCTGGTTTGTAAAAAAAAATTTTTTTTATTATTATATATATAAATGTATAAATATTTTTTTATTTTTTTAGTAATAGGCAATTTGATATAATACTCTTAAGCTTTAGAAAACTGTGATGGGTGTTTTGCACAATTTCATACATTTTGTAGACCAAACAATTAAGAAAACAATCTGCAGATTTACCAGCTCTACAATGTTAAAATACTTACAACAAAATAGGTTCAAAAACATTAAAGGAAAAGCAGTATTTTGACAAAATAATACATCCATACCATGAAATTTAATAATGTAACATGTTCAATAAATTAATTAATATAATAACAGCACAACCGTGTTTAAATGAATACTAATCCTAATATATATATATATATATATATATATATATATATATAAATTTCTTCCTTTTACCCTCCTCGTCCAGAAGCAACACATTGGCAGACAACCCCCAACCTCTTCGCGCCGAGCTGGACCGGAGACACCCGACTTTACCCGAACCCGCCGAACACTCCACTGCGGCTGCGTCATTCTTTTTTTTTTTTTTTTTTAGAGAACAGCAAAGATTATAAGCTAGCTAACACGAAAAATGGACGGCCAACTTTCGGGGCGTCTCGACAGCGACGTCTCCGAAAAGCAGTAGACATATTAGGAGATTAAGAAACGGTGGCGTGAGCGGGACACTCCGTGAAAACATCTGGCGTTCACTCTTCACTGTAGTTTCTACGATACAGTAAGTTAGCTCAGGCTACTTAGCAAGCTAACGCTGAATACTAAAGAAGGACAGCTTCTTTTTTTTTTAAACCCCCTCCTCCTCTCTTTGCTTTGCTCTGTTTTTTTCCTCCTCCGTGCATGGCAGCACTGTTATGCAGCCTCGCAAGTGTTGTATTTGTTTTTTAAAAGGGGAAAAAAAGACCTTTTTGACTCACCTGTGCGAGTGCTTCCCAGGTAAATGTGTCTGCTTTTTATTTGATATATTCCCTCGGATGGATGTCAGAGCATAGCCACATCACCAAACATTCCCGGAAACAAAACTTCCTTTGCTGTGATTGGACAGCGGGGATCTGCGTATATAAGGGACTGTCTGCAAATGTCCAGGCCGTCTACTCCTTTCTAGGGAGTATCTGCATTTAACATATATATTTTAAAACGAAAAATGAGCCCTTGAACCCTTTAATTTCTGCATCTTGGAAGCATACGGACGACGCTGTAGCGATGGCGGGGCATGACCAAAGAGTCAACCTGATCATCAACCAGGGCAGGCAGCTGGGGAGGAGTCTGATGCTGCTGGCCCACTACACCACAGTGTTTGTGGCCTTCGTGGGGCGCACCGTGCAGTGGATGGTGGACGCCGTGAAGTGGACCAGCCTGTTTGCACGCTACACGGTGTCAGTGTTTGACTCCATCTACAGACATCTGCACTGGGGGAAGAGGAAAGGTGTCGCTGGCGGGTCCAAAGAGATCTGCCCGAGCTCGGACATGGAGCCGCAGTGATTATCAGAACTTTCTTTAACTGTTGTGTCGTCTTAAGAAAAGGAAGTCTGATGAAGATTTGCAACAGAAAGCTGAAGGAGGAAAAAAAAAAAAAAAAAAAAAAAACGAGGCCTTACTGAAGTCATAATTATAGCTTTTTACTTTTATAAGCTCTTAAAACATAGCCGTTTGTTACATAGTCTTGTTAGTGTTATAGTTGTGCGTGTAGTTATATAATGTGTTTAATCCACATTTTGTTATTGTCAGGAAAAGCTCTTCCCAAACTATATTTCAGGCTATTTGTGAGGCACTATCTTGGGGGGGGTATTGCTGCCATTTATCACCTGCTGATATGACTGTTAATGCAAATGTGTTACAGGGTAATGCAAACTTGGGTAATATATGTGGGAAGCGTACATGCTGGACGCCTCTTCCGTGCTACATTATTGCACTACAGCAGAGGTTAGGATAGGTATTGTTGATTAAAGGCTACATCAAGAATTCACCATAACACTAAACAGCCAAATGTTGTTGTTTTTATTAACATATGTGCCTGTCTTTTTTTATTTTTCTGTAACGTTTGTTGTTGTTGTTTTTGGGGCAAATCCTATGTGGCATGAATGAAACAATGAGTAATGAGCTACAACACCGACTGACTAAACCAGTTGTGTGTGTGTGGGGAGGGGGTTTCTTTTTTTTTGTGATAATCTGAACGTTATACTTTTGTTTTATAAGTTTTATGGCCAGAAAGAAACACTACTGTTCCTGCTGAATGTATTCTAGAAACCACTAGTATGAGTTAAACATTTTTTGGGAGTGGTAAATGAAAAGTGTTGCTTTCAAATGACCCACAGCTGCATTTACTGGTGACGTTTTTTTATTTTTACTTTTATATTAATACGTATATATTTTAAGAGTTCGGTTCACGTATATACTCTGTGTTATTCATCTTTTTTTTTATTGCTCGTTTGCAAGTTGTAAGAATGGTGGAGACATTAACCGCACTCGTAGCTGCTGAATACAACTAATACTGCATTCAAATATGATTCTAAGTAGTTGTAGTGAAAACAAAGCGGCCACTTTTAGGAAGTGGCACTTAATCTCAGAAGCATTTAGAAATGGATGTGATATTATTTCCTTGTTTCTGGTATTGACACTAAGATGCAAGACGAAGAAAAGCTTTTCTTTCTGCAGTGTTTTGATATTATTATTATTATTTCACAAACTCAAACTGTAATGTTGAAGTTATTGTACCAGTCAGCCAAGTCTTCTTTGCTTTAAACTGTGGTATACAAATAAAATAATCTACCAAATACTTTGCTTTGCAATCATGTTTTTTTTTTTTGTTTGCAGAATTAAACACAAGTAGAGCAATTGAAGATTATTTTTTTATTCATGATTAATCTGCTGTTCTCAAATCTTGAGAATTGCCCATCACTGTCGTCCAAAGCCTTCGGAAACATTTTGAATTAAAGACTTAAACTTGTATTGGTATGGAGATCCCCTGCAGACATGTATTACAACATATACAAATAGTCTGCTTGGAACAATAATGTGTTTCTCATGCAAAATAAGCATAATTTTCACATTAAAATCCTTAAAAAGGCATCTTCTCCTTTTACCTCATTAAAAACTCCATATTCTTCTAGTAATATGCTAAATCTGTTCATTCCTGAAGTTTTCCTGTTGGACACAAGATGTCTCCTATACTTCCCTGTAAAGTCCTTTCTCAGTGTCTCTGGTGGCTTCAAGTTTCGACATCACACTTGTATAAGTTGCATCCTGGACATATTTTAGTGTGCTCTGTTTGGCTGTAATACGAGATCGTGTGTGATCAGGTGAGCCGCCATTGTTTCCTGCTACAGACGAGTCAAAAGTGCGCAGCCAGTCAGCGCAGATCAACTCGCAGTACGTCACCTCCACTGGCTCCGTTTAACTGTCATGGCGTCAGACAAAAACACCGAACTCGAGGCTTCAAAACAGTACTCAACAAACCGATGGGTGACGTCAATAAAGGTTCACACTTCATACAAATCATGCTTGTAGGCCCCGCCCCTTAAAATCTGATTTTCAGTGACCCCAGAGAAACTTTCGATTTACAGCAGATGAATGTGAAAACATCCTTCTAGTGTCAGACTCTGCACATACATCAATCTGCACAGTGAAGCTCAAACATCTGACTGTAGGAACAATAAGAAAAAACATATTTATGAGCAGAGGGGGGACTTTAAGTAAAGAATCTGAGTGCTTCTTCCACCACTTTTAAAGCTGCAGCACTCATACTTGAGAGCACTTGTATCCCCTTCAGTTCAGACGCCTGGCCTGTGTCTCCACGTGAGGGATGAAAGCTGTGTTGTGTTTGTCAGCAGTTCTCAGGGTAAACGTGGACGGAGATGAAACAGTCAGCCTGTCCTTTTAATGGGGGGGATTAGGTTGATCATCAGCATGTTTGCATGGATTACAGCCGGTGATTAAACCCAAGGAGAACACAGAAGGGACATCCCTAAACTCAGGCGGCTACAAAAGGCCCCCGCCAGCCGCTACTCTCACCCTAAGTCCCATTGTTGTGTGACTGTGAAGAGGGATAACCTCCGCTTCACAGTAGACCCATTGGGCTGAGAGGTTTGTGCACCAGCTGCAACAAAAAGGCTCCATATTTCTTATCTACACATACTCGGGTGTAAGAGAGAAATGGGTAACTCAACAGGAAGCACCGTGGACGACCTGCAGGCGGTGGAGATGCACCTCTGGTACAAGAAGTTCATGACCGAGTGCCCCTCAGGTCAGCTCACCCTGCACGAGTTCAAGCAGTTCTTCGGCCTGCGAGGGCTGGACCCCGAGGCCAACGCCTACATAGAGCAGATGTTCCGCACGTTTGACATGAACAAGGTAAGACGCTGCATTTTAAAAAAACTTACATTAAATTAAAGAGGGTTTACACTTTAATTGTAGAGAAAGGAACTTTTAAGAGCTGGCAGGGTGGGATGTTTCCTGTGGGATTGTTTAGTTTGTGTCATGTTTTTGCTTCACCTCTTTTAATTAACTTTTAATGATTAAAAAATCAACATAATATGAACATAAAGGTGTAAATAGATACACTGGAGGGCTTATGATGCGTATTTAAATGTTTTGTCTGAAGGGTGAAATTTACATAATAAGAAATGTTTTTCTGGGTTCACAAATTGTAATTAATTCTTTATATAACAGAAATATTGTACATCAGGTGAATCCATTTGACAGCAATATGGCAATATTTTAACATTTCTGGCTGTTTTCCCTTGAAAGTATAAACCTTCAATCATCACAATGTTTACGTTACCCTTTAAAACTAAAGTAAAGAGAGTTTCCTAGAACTGATTTCAGATGTTTCTTTCTATTCTTTACCTAACTCTGGACATAAAAGTCCTATAAAAACATTTTTATTGGGATCAAACACTATTAAAAAGTATCCACAAGTGTTTCGAAGGGTTCGTTTTTTATTATATTTGTCAGTTCAGGGATTTACAGATTTTGTTGTTTACAATTATATTTACAAACAGGGCTGCAAATGATTATTATCGATCAATTAGTTTCTTTGACAAATAATCACTGAAGCTATAAAATAGTGAAAAATGTCCAAAGTGACATCTTCACTTTAACTTGTTTTCTGTATAAAATGCAAAGGCATTTAATTTACAATGATATAAACCCCCAAACAACAAATTTCTGCTTAATAAATGCACTCAAATGATGAATTGATTATCAAAAATTGCTGATTATACATATTTTGGTAAACAGATTAGGGTTGCAACTAATAATTATATTCACAATCTATTACTATTATGAATAACTGATTAATAGTTTACTTTTGACATCTGTGACATCTTAATTTGAATCTAAAACTTGACTTCTTTGATATCTTTGATAAAGTACAGGCTTTAAAATGCTCACGTTTGAGCTAATGTTGAACCCTTTTGCGTGAAAAATGACTTAAATGATTAATTTATAACACAACCTTGATGGTGAATCTCGGTTAATTAATCCATTAATTGTTTCAGCTCTAAAAGCAATAAAAACAGTCAAGTAAGATGGTCTGCTTTTCGGGAGTAGAGACGCACAAAATGACAGTCTGAGACACAACCTACATGCCCGTGACCTCCCGGCAAAACATTTTGACCCCCACAGATTAATCGTCTCTGAGCGAGCGACAGGATCATCTCAGGATGTTTCTGTCTGAGAAGCTGAAACGTCTATATTTAGTCTCCCTGTCGCCATCGTCTCATAAAAGGGACTGTGGTAATCTTTATGCAAAACTGGGAGATTATCTGCGAGACAATACTTTGATGCTAAGATTGTTGCCCGTGGTCAGACAGTCCCCAGAGATAATCCTCCTTCCCTGGCACGCTTCATTTCACACAGATAGCTTTTGGAGTTGAGATGAGGGCCATCTCATCAACTGTGAATGGTTGAAAAATAGCTCCATAATAAAGAGATGGTCATGCATAATCATTTACTTATGTCTGACACTGTTTTAAAAAAGGGATCTCCTGTGTGAGTGGTCTCATCTCCCTGGGCTTGTTTCTTTTGCAGGATGGCTACATAGACTTCATGGAGTATGTGGCCGCTCTCAGTCTGGTGATGCGAGGAAAGATGGAGCACAAGCTGCGCTGGTATTTCAAGCTTTATGATGTGGATGGCAACGGCTGCATTGACCGACACGAGCTCCTCAACATCATAAAGGTAACAGTCTATCATTCTCCTGCTCGATGGGTTTCCCAGCAGGTCCTGGCCTCGATGTGACACACTGATTTTATTCTGTTCCTGCAGGCCATCCGAGCAATCAATGGGAATGAAAATCAGGACATCAGTGCTGAGGATTTCACTAACCGTGTGTTTGACAGGATTGATATAAATGGAGACGGTGAGTGTTTTCTGGCACTGTATGCAGAGGTTTTTAGGAAGAAATCGATTGTGGGCGGACAGTGTGTAGACATTCATCAGCTCCTGTGCTTTCTTCAGTCAGGAAACACAGCAAGCATAACACGAAGATATACTTTAGGTGGCGGTTGAGCACAATAAGAATCCTTAAACCTCTCACAAAAGGATGCTACTTCAACTTTTGCACCTCAAAAGGACTAATGTGTAGCATTCAGAGGTGTCTAGTGGTAAAGTTGCAGATTGCAACCACTTGAATACAGCTTAGCTTTCCAAGCATGTAGGAGAAACCATTGTGGCTGCTAAACATAACTATCTAGAGCCAGTGTTTGGTTTGTCCTACTGGGCAAAAATAGCGGTGCATCATGGCAGCCTCTATTAGAGAGGACCCGCTTCCTCTGTAGATAAAAGTGGCTCATAGTAAGGTAACAAAAACACAATGATTCATTATACACTAATGAAAACATACCTGTTAATATTATATTCAATTTCTCTTAATAGATTGTCCTAAATGTCACACACTGGACTGGAAACGCCACCAACCATCAAATGATTTGACATATTTAGTGTATAACAAGACATAAATTAACAACTAACACAGGATAAGAGCTTTTTAATTTCACTACCCACCATGAGTCTGATAATGTTACACGTAAAAGTGCAATGCTAACTTCATTTGGAACTCTAAGAGGGAAAAAAAACAACCTTTTATGTCTTTGAATATAATCTTTTGCCTCCCAACAGGTGAGCTTTCCTTGGAGGAGTTTGTGGCCGGCGCTCGCACTGACGAGGATTTCATGGAGGTGATGATAAAGAGTCTGGACCTCACCCACATTGTGGCTATGATCCACAACAGGAGGCACAGCGTTTAGGATCTGCCCAGTCCGACTACCTCATCCTCATTCATGATTTAACCCGAGAGCTTCAGTACATCGCCTCTGGTAAAAAAGTAATTTATAGACTGAGATTTCTATTAAGATTGAATCCAGTTTAATATAATGCCAGTGTACTGCAAACACTGACATTTCTTTTTCTTTCTTGAATCTCTAAAAGAGTGACACACATGCACTTTAAATGCATTTGGATGACTCAGTCAACCTTTGCAAACTGGTCATTGTCCTTGTTTAATGACGCTGAGCTCTCCCAAGGCCACCTTGGCATGAGGGATGATCTCTCAGACGGTCCACTTACCCACTGATACCTCGGGGGATAAAAGAGGGAGATAGTGGAGTAGAGTGGCAATTATACGCACTCAATGCTTTCCAAATCTTTTTTTTTTCCCTGGGTCTGAGCTCCTCTGCATCAAATTACTCAACTCTCTGTTTACCCGTTCTTGCCTGTGGGTAAACAGGAGGAAAACTATGACTCCGCAGTGTGCTTAACATCCTAACATCCACGCTAATGTCAAGTCAAAGGCTCTAACACAGGAAGAGATTTGAAGAAATTAAGCAGTGTGTGCAGATACAAATGTTTTACCTTTTATTTTTATATTTTTCACCTTTTTTTAAACTTTTAAAAAAAGGATTCAAGTTGAAGCAAAAGGCGAAAAATTACTGGCTTGGGGTTTTGTAACATATTGGTGTGTGGGTGTTTCTTTGGCCGTATGTTTCTCTGCCTGTTCAGCATACATACAGATATAGATCACCTCTGTTGTTACTTATTTGTACAATAAAAACCTATTGAAAGTCGACTGTGTAAGGTCTCTATTGAATGTGCATAAGTGTGTTGCAGGTATTGCAGCTTGTCCACAACAAATGATCAGCTTCAGTCGGATGCACGCCTCCGTACCTTAAGACGTTCTAAGACATACATTTCACATGTGCATTAGCCTGGGATCCATAAATTAAAGGTGAATGTAATAATTCCATAAACACACCCTAATTAAGGAGACTTATTCAGAATTTAGAACAGTATAAACATCTAATAAATGGTTTATAATATACATTATAACATTGTTGTATGCAACTATAAGGAGATTTTAATAGTTTATTAAAATATTATAATGCGTTACTTTATTGTCATTCATTACCTGTTTATACAGCAGTCTCCTGTTATGGGTGCCAACGGGAAGTTACACTTGTTAACTACATTATAATGTGTTATAAACCATGCATTAACGTTTATATAATGCCTATAAATGCTAAATAGTGTGGGTTAAAGTGAAGTGTTACCAATTAGCTTGGTGGTTCCCAACCTGATCTTCAATATTAGGGGTCACATGGTTAACATGATAGGGTAAAATATATCAGCTACACATATTGTTTCCTCTAATCTTTGCTTTCTAGATAATTTGAGGCCCCTTAAATATTATTTCAACAAGGGAAAAAAACATGTGCAAACAATTACAGGGATTCACAAGTAGGTTTTGTTTTAAGGGTTCACAAGTCCAAATGTTGTGAACCACTACTCCAGTTTACTTTAAAAAGGTTAAAAGGAGGATGAGCCCAATTAAGGGAGCAGAGCTATTGTTTCTAGACAATAACTCTGCATAGAAGCTGAGTTTTCTCCATTTTAAAATCAGTATCCTGACTTCAGTGTACAAAAGGTAACACATTACGGAAACAAAATCCTCCCTTAAAGCAAGATGATTCACCTGCATGGTGCCAAGGTCGCTCTATGTCAGGCACAAAATGCTAAACTTGCACCTTAGTCATCTTTTTTCTCATTATTTTAAGCAGGATATATAATATACAGATCTTCTTTGTATTTTAATAAAAAAAAATATATCAAGTAAAACTGGGTATTTCATTAAGATACATCGCAAACTTAACATAAGCTTTTAACTAAATAAAACACATATAAAGTTAAACTGCCAATATGGCATTTATTTTATACAAATGCAAACATTTAACATAGTTTAGACACTTTACAAGGAAAATATGAACACATTCATCAACCACAAGGGGGCAGCAACATAATTGGATTAATTTTCCTCCACAGAATTCTCAACAATACTTTGAGCTCCTTATTTTGCCAAGTCCTGAAGTGTATAAATCCTCCGTTCGTCTTACTGTCTGTATGTCATCTCTCCTTTATTCGGGCTCACAGGAAGTCATACAGGTACTTGACAATATCGAAATTCACCGTCCTGTAAGACAAATCACACCAAACACATAAAAAAAAAACAACAGATTAATCCCCTTTAATAATTCTGCTGTCAGTCTCAGTTGTGTATTAACAAACATGTACACACACCTGGATATGGCACAGATGAAGTCCATGGACACGGCACATTTGTACTTCGGGGCATCGAGCTGGTCGTCATGACTGACCTGAGTCAACAGCTGTAAGGTCACCAGAGAGGAGATCTGAACGGAGACAAGAGGGGAAACTGAAATGACTCCCTGTTCCGCTTTTTAAACACAGCTTTTCCACACTTTGATACAGAGGCACTAAATGATGACAGCCAGTTGCACAGATATGGGTCGAGGCTAATTTCCTAAAACCATTTTATGCTCAGGGCCACAGATCCTGAAACTCTCGACCATATGAGTAGAAAACTCTCATCTGAGAGACTGTGGTCAACTTGATTTAACATAAAGTCATTTGCACCCAGATATGAGAAAAATGAGTATTCAAAATTATTATTATAGTGTACATTTGTTTATCTGGCAAATGTTAGACAAGTGTGAAATTATATTATTTTCTATATTCTGTAGGAGCCACTTTACAGACCCACGAGTCTCCCTACAGTTAACTTTGGGAGTTACAATCATGGAGCGAGATTACAAGCACTGCAGGATTAAATGAAGGGCAAAATAAAACCACTACAGAGCTCAACTCATGACAACGGCAACAAAAACGGTCGTACAGAAAGAGGAAATTCATGTATACAGATGGTTAAGGAGGTTATTTAAACTATTTTTGTTTTTTGGATGAATAATTTTAGTGTTCTGCTGACTGACACGTCCATCTTTATTCAGTCAGACAATCCCCACCATCAACAGGAGGGTCATCGCACTGAGACAGCGCCCCTTATGAGTTCTTAATGTTATTCTTTCAGCCGCTGCGAGTGGTCAAACATCTGTTTTAGTGCTTTTAGATCTTACTGCAGCTTCAACCTATTAATTCAATGCCTTAAGCACTGAGCTGGAATATTGGGTGCAGTTTTATTCCCATCTTCCTAATAGGAAAGTCTGTGTGGCCATTGGCGACTTTAAATCCTCCACCTTCCATTTCCCCTATGGAGTGGCTCAAGGCTCAGTACATTTTTATGTGGATGACTCCCAGATCTACTCCAAATTCTGTTGCATCTAAGGAGCCTCTTCTAGTTTTCAACTCAGAGTGAAGGTACATCTGGGCATTGTTTCCTGAATGTTTGGTGAAATAAACTGGACACTGACCTGGGAGAAAATGCTGGCAGTGGGGGCGACTCTGTTGTCCACCACACTGTAGAAAATGGCAAGCAGGCGGTCGAGAGGGAAGGGCTTTGGTCCCAGAAGGTGGTTACTCGTCTAAAAAAGAGAGAGAATATATTGCTATGATATAAAAACAAGTGTTTAAAACTAATGGAGCTCAAAGCCAGTGTTGTGTTAAGATGTTCACCTTTTCATTTTTCTTTAAGAAGTTTGTTTTTTTTATTTTACCGTGGTGCTGTAGGGAGGAAACAGAGGGACACATCAAACATTTAATTTGCAGGAATCACACATTACTAATGTGCCTCAAAGGGCTTTACAATATGTACAACATATAACCACCTTTAGACCTTTAAATGGGATTAAAAAAAAACCTACAGAAGCATAATTTCAACAGGAGATTCTTTGGTGTAAAGTTAAATCTGTCTACCTTTAGGAAGAAGCGTTTATCTGTGCGAGCAGGGTTGTAGGATGCCAGGTAGGCAGCAATCAGAAGGAACTTGGAGTAATAAGGCAGTTCAACATGAGTGTGAGCAGATAAACCTTTAGGGGACATAAATGTAACCAGTCAGATATACTTAAGAATGAAAATATGCCCGTAGAGCCACATATCCTTTCATACAATGCATCATTCATGCATGACGTTCGGTGCACTGATATGCTGTTAGACGTTATTTACTAAAAATATCCCAATTTCTGCATGAATCCACAGTGTCACTGCACCCTATCAGTGGTTTTACAGTCTAACATCTGCTCTGCAATCATGTTACGTCATTGAGTGCAACTGCGCTCAGTGTGTACCTCTCAATGCTCCAGACTCCTTCTCCTCCATTTGCTGCATCTGCTCCCACTGAAGACTGAAGAGAGAAAAGAGAAGACACACAATGACGACAGGGACACACAACAAACAAGCAGAATTCATGAGCAGACTGATGTAAAGAACACAAACCTGGACACTTCTCGCAGGTAAACGGTCTGCATGGCTTTTTTCAAATGAGGCTCGATATTTCTCCACAGCTTGTGTGTGTCAGTCTCTTTCACTGAAGATAGAAAATAGAGCAACATTGTTTAAAAAGCCACATTTACACCATGGGAAGAATCCAAGTTCACTTATAAAGAGAAGGGATATAATCAATACAAGGAAAAACAACAGGAACACTATAAAAAGGTCTAGAAAAAGGAACTTCTATACACTGAACAAAATTTTAACACTTTTGTTTTTGCCCCCATTCATCATGAGCTGAACTCAAAGATCTAAGACTTTCTCTATGTACACAAAAGGCCTATTTCTCTCGATATATTGTTCACAAATCTGTCAAAATCTGTGTTAGTGAGCACTTCTCCTTTGCAGAGATAATCCATCCACCTCACAGGTGTGGCATATCCAGATGCTGATCAGACAGCATGGGTATTGCACAGGTGTGCCTTAGGCTGGCCACAATAAAAGGCCACTCGAAAATGTGCAGTTATATCACACTGCACAATGCCACAGATGTCGTCAGAAGTTTTGAGGGAGCGTGCAATTGGCATGCTGACTGCAGGAATGTCCACCAGAGCTGTTGCCCGTGAATTGGATGTTCATTTTTCTACCATAAGCTGTCTCCAAAGGCGTTTCAGAGAATTTGGCAGTACATCCAACCGGCCTCACAACCGCAGACCACGTGTAACCACACCAGCCCAGGACCTCCACATCCAGCATCTTCACCTCCAAGATCGTCTGAGACCAGCCACCTGGACAGCTGCTGCAACAATCGGTTTGCATAACCAAAGAATTTCTGCATAAACTGTCGGGAACCGTCTCAGGGAAGCTCACCTGCATGCTCATCGTCCTCATCGGGGTCTCGACCTGACTTCAGTTTGTCGTCGTAACCAACTTGAGTGGGTAAATGCTCACATTCGATGTTGTCTGGCACTTTGGAGAGGTGGTCTCTTCACGGATGAATCCCGGTTTTCAGCGGTTTGCTGATGTCAATGTTGTGGATCGAGTGGCCCATGGTGGCGGTGGGGTTATGGTATGGGCAGGCGTGTGTTATGGACAATGAACACAGGTGCATTTTATTGATGGCATTTTGAATGCACAGAGATACCGTGACGAGATCCTGAGGCCCATTGTTGTGCCATTCATCCACGACCATCACCTCATGTTGCAGCATGATAATGCACGGCCCCATGTTGCAAGGATCTGTACAAAATTCCTGGAAGCTGAAAACATCCCAGTTCTTGCATGGCCAGCATACTCACCGGACATTTCACCCATTGAGCATGTTTGGGATGCTCTGGATCGGCGTATACGACAGCGTGTTCCAGGTCCTGCCAATATCCAGC